ATAAATAGTGATGTAATGTTAAGAATTAGCAATGTATACAATTTATTACATAAGAATTATTTAAATATTGCACAAGTCTTTTTTTAAGAAAATGCTGCGTTGTCATATTCACCTGATAATAGATATTAATAACTTTAAGAAGAACGATAAGATGTCTACGAAATTTTGCTGATAAAAAACTTTGTTTTCAAACAGTTATTAGTAAAAATATGTATACGAATGTAAGTTTTGATTTTAAGTTTAGTATATAGATATTATGAAAAAATACAAGTGACTCTTTCAAAGTTTAAACACTAGTATCTACAGCTCGAAACACTATATGTAATATATAAGCTCTAGCTTACATTACTAGCTTGCCGGTATAAATAAAACGTAGACATTTATTTCGCAGACATCTGTATAAATTTAAATATCTACATATTTGAATAATATGCATAATACTTTTCTTATGTATCGACGGCTTGGCCTTAATGAATATGAAGTTTTGCGTTTCCGCCCGTGCCCTATGTAAACACATAGGATATAGGTATATATAATCTGTACATTTATATTACTACTTCATTCTAAAATATTGTGCAATGAGATAAAATTACTAATGTTCTAAAAATAGATTATTTCGCGTCCAAATGTCGGTGGTTTCGTAGATATTACGACGAAAGATGTTTTATATTTCGTCGTAATACCTACTACTAGGGTAAGTCACAACACATTCATTCAAACTCCATAAAATAACATCAGAATCTGACAATAAAGGTCTTATTTAAATCATTGAGTTAAAAATAAAACATAAAGGCATAGTACACAAAAAATTCTCTTTAGAAAAATTGTATGTTTCACCTACGACCTACGAGGCCAGTGAAAATTATATTAACTAATAATAAAGTGAATTACAATTAGAATATTAGATCAAATCAGTGTGAGAACAAAGGTTAACAATGGCCTGTGGGCTGTGTCAGAACGGGATATCATTCAAAGGGCCAATAACCGTCGTAGAAAGGTCCTTCATAGTAGTTAATTGATGGCTGCCCTGGTGACCTTCTAAATATAACGCCGAGCGATTCGATTTACGACCTACTGAAAATTTTGTACGAGTTATTTATAACTATTGATATTTTCTATAATTTCTGATGAACTGATTTTACTCCTCGAGTTATAATTATAAAAAATATATATAAAGGCCAAGAGCGTCGGTGGCTCAGTGGTTTAAGCACGTGACTTGTAATCTACAGGTTTTGGGTTCGAATCCCGCCATGTAGCAATGTGATTTTGAATTTTTTTTAATTTTCATATGTACATAACTAGTTCGCTAGGGGCTAGTAGTAGCTAGTAGTAGCTAGTAGACTACAACCCTCCGGTTTAAAAATGAGGATACTTTGGTGATTACATTTGTAAAACGATACTTTGAATAATCCGGAGGAGGCTTTTTACCGCTCTTGGCGGCCCTTACACATAACAAGAGGAAGAAAAATAACAATAACATAGTTACTAATTATTATTTTTGTATTGTTATCAACATAAATATAGATTAACGCTAGATGTCCTTAATTGCAATCCTTTCAGATTCTTTTTAATGTAATAGTATACAATAGTTAATACCTACTTCTAAGTTATAATGTAAATGTTATGTATGTACATATGTGTGTAATGGGAAATAATAGCTTTATTATTATTATTATTATTATTATGTACATAACTTACCCGACGTTTATACGATGAAGGAAAACATCGTGATGCAACCTGCACATATCGGCGGAGAAATTTAAAGATATGTGTGAAGTCAACCAACCCGCACATGGCCAGCGTGGTTGACTATGGCCTAGTCACCCCTTATTAGGGTAGGCTTCGAGCCCGTCGGTGGGGACTTCGGTGAGCTGGTGATGGATATATAGGCCAAAATAAAAAGTTTGGGTGCAGAATAGGAATTTGAACGTCATATTTTTATTTTCTTGTATTAGTAATTTCTAATTATAATTGATTTATGGCAAAAATAAATTATTTATGATTTTATTATTTTAGTTATAGATTTGTTTTTATTTAAAGTTATGATTTCAATTGTTTTTAGTGAACTGTACTGTTAGGTGAGAATCAAACCCCGACTATAATTACTTCAGCACTTTACTGGATTTTCATACATACTAATAACATGATTTTTTTTATACTTATTGTATTATATTTAATAAATTATTGTAATTGTTCTTAGCGATATTAATTTAAACAATGAACCACAGTGAACAAGCCGTCCCGCCAGAAATGCGCGCCAATATATCCATCCTTCTAATGACATTGACAGCTGTCAGTTAGAGATGTGACGTTTATGTCAATAATCTAGTGTTGCGCTACTTCTACGGCGCGGTACTATTTCTTTTCTTAACATTATGGAACATTCAATTCATTTCAACGTTATTACGGGAATGAGTATATAAGGTAAACAGTTAGTATGTTCTTTTTGAAACACACGGAAAAACATAGAAAATGTTAAATATATTTAAACTCATTACGACGTGATAGGACAGTTACATGAGGAAAATCGAAAGCAATATTGTCATGTTTAAAACATTTAATAACATGCGTACGCGTGTGTTTCACTCCACTTTAGTTAAAAGTTCACAATAAACGATAAAGTACCGGTGGAACGTAAATTACTTAACATGACGATTTTACATAAAAATAAAACCGATATTATGTGCTGAAAAAACATACAGCATTGCCATGTAGAAGAAGCATTGTATATTGCTGAGCAATTCTGTATGTTTTTCAAAGGTATATAATGAAACCATATATATTAAAGTAATAATTTAAAAAATCGAAGGAAATCCTCAGTAACACTATATGAGCATAGTTAACAAACTCCTACAAGTTTTGCCCCAAAATAGTAAGAGCAACTAAAACAATTGTCTGACGTACGTTGTGGAAGTTTCTTCTCCAGTGTTATAAGAACAATCAGACTTATTATTTTAATATATTACTAGTTTATACCTCTTTATTTAAGCCCATTATATCACGTAGAACTAGTTTACTCATAGTGAATGCAGACAATTTTAAAAAGAAATTTCTTCCTTTTAAAAAATCCCCTCATAATAATCCCCCGGTTAAATGTTTGCCTTTGAATTCTCTCCCTCTTAAAACCACCCTTTGTTTGTTATATTAGTACAGTTAGCAACACTGCTTGTTACCGACATCGCTGTTATATCCGTCAAATACTTTTTTGTAAACTTGATCTTTTAGTTATTAATATCTGTGAAAGTTAGATGCCTAGTTAATTGACTAGGTTAACAGTCATTTTATTTATTTCCTTTAAATACGAAGTCAATCATACTTGACCCAAAGCAGTCATGTAAAGACTTTAATAAATGAAATATTTTTACTTTGCAGTTAAAGGGAAGGTGAACAAAGATTTCGTTACAAAATGATAATTTAGCTTATGGGTATAATATTTTTCGAATACTTTAGCGTATCGGACGCACGAAAAGTCGCTTGCGCGGGACGGTTATAGGTGTAGCCGGGCGAACATGGATGCGGCGGGGGCAGGGTACGGATTAGCTACTAAATACATTAAAACTCTCTATACCTTATTTATATGTCCACTAACAATATTAAATACTAAGGGCCTGACCCACCAAATTGTAAATTGTCTGATAACAATTCAACGTGTAAGATATGTGATGGAAATATAATTTTGTTCCCTTATCGGACAGTGCCGTCATTTTTAAGCTATCTCAGCCTCTATCAGCCTTTGGTGGGACAAGCCCGTTAGTGTAGTCGTAACTTATACTCTTTTAAGTACCTCATGAATTTATTATTTAATATAGTGTGAGTGTAAATAATGTAAGTTACTTTACCACTAAACATTTTGTAGATTTGTTATTACAAACAAAAATATAGGATCTTATAATACATTATTCAAAATGGATGCAGCGAAGCAACCTGAGTAACGCTAGTTACGTTCATATGAAATTAAAAACGCCCTAAAAGTTTCAATAAATATACTAGCTTTCGCTTCGACTCCGACAGCAAAAATTTAATTAGTTGTCTATGTGTTCTTCCAAACTGTTCTACATCTATGCTAAATTTCATAGAGATCAGCCGTTTAGGCTGTAAACTGTAACAAACATCCATCCATCTATACTTTCACATTTACAATATTATTAGGGTATATAATTTTTTAATTATATAGGTAAGAGTTGAATCTCAACGAAGAAGATTTTGGCATTTAATATTGCCAAATGTAATTATTTACAATACTGAACCTACAATAAAAACCTACTACCGACGCATATGTACGATTATAGCAAATCTTTCCTAATTTTTTTCTCTTTTCTAAGAGTAGCACTCTATCTTTTTAAAGATAAAAATCCTCTCAATAATGATTAAAAAAAATATATAATAGGTACAAGTACGTATTAATATATCGTAGCGGTGTCAGATATTAGTAGGTCATTGGTTCATTGGTTAGTGGGTACTGTACTGTATGCAGTGTGCGATTAATTTAACGGATTACGGAAGTCATCGACCGCTAGTGTTATAGTTTTTTATTATACGTTCAAAGTGTACCGTACAATTATCGTAGTACTATATACAACACATGTTACCTACTTCATGTTCTATCTAGTAATTATCCCGAAAATTGGGTCACATTATATAATAAAAGTAGGGAAGCGAAATTAATAAATATTATGTTAGATGAATGTTTTTTGTTAATGAAGATAAATTATGTTAGAAATAATGAAAGATAAGATAACGAAGATGACCTAGATTTCGAAAGTGCGAGCTAAACCTATATATATTCTACATTGACAATAATTAATTTACTTATGTTTAAACGAAAATAAAAAAGAACAGTATTATAACATGAAAAAATAAATTATAATATGCAAATGATAAACCAATGCCGACGTTCTTTCGGTTCGGCGAAACAGTAACTACTTGATACACAAACATGCAGCTGTTTATAATAACTTAAATTTAGCGAAATTAAATAAAATCTTATTATAAAAACTTACCAATCCGTTCAATTTGTAGCAGCTGTTGATACGACGAATAGGTTATATTCACGATTCGGCCCGCCACGTGTTGTTAAAAATATGCAACCGCGGACGACCACCCGGCGCGTACGTTAAAAACGGAATGAACGAACGACGAACCACGAAACAAGTTTACAGTATTGTACTGTACGCACAACGTGCATAGCAAGGAAAAACGATTGTTGCGTCATAAAAGAAGAGAAGGGGTTATTACTGTAACGTCGATATTAGACGTCCGACGGTGTAAAAACGTTAAACGTTATAAACCGACAAATTTTGATTCACACTATATCGAATCATATTTCATACAAATAATACCATCTTTAATTTAATTCCTAATTCCTACCACGAAAAATATTACGCTATAGGCTATAGGTTCAGTGTATACAGCTGGTTATGAAATACGTATTTTGCAATGATGTTTTTGTCACGTCTACGAACATACAAATTAAAAATAGTTATTGATAAGTACTAAAAAGTCAGCAGTTGTACAATTTAAAATCAATGCATAAGTAATTCGAAAAATGTACAGTAATAACATAGTTTTTGGTTAGTATGAATCATATTTTAATGAACGCTCTTAGTTGGCACAAATAAAACTGGGTTAACTAAAATAGAAATATCTATACCTACCTGGTGGATGACAAAACATGGAAATTGCAAACGTCGAGTGAATTTTAATAATTTGAAGATTTGTGTATACAAGTAAATTTTAATTACAGTCAACACCATTCGAAAAAAAAACTCAATAAATCTGTTGTTTCATCTTTATCCTTGGCATTGAGACATCGACCGGCGATCGGTCCCATGGCCGTTTACTTAAGGCGAAGTTGTCCTCCACAAAGCTTAGTATACTTAATATTTTATTGTTTTTAGTAATATCAGGTATAAACAAAAACATGGTAATGATTATTGCGATCTTTTTTCTTAACCATTCCTCTTAGATTCTTTCTCCATTCTTTGAGCTTCTGAGAGATATTGATGCCGTCATGTATTTTGGTCTCGGTCTAAAAAGCGGTGGATATTTTTTGGCGATTCTTTTTTCTTTGTTTTTTTTCTGTAGCGGTATGTTGTACTGGTTTTCAGTCGATTTGTAGCCTGTGACACGTTACTGGCATGAGACGTAAGAGCTAAGAGAGTAATTTTCTTACTTCTATGTGGATGCTTTTTATGTTCAGGTAACTACATCAAGTTATGGAGTCACACCCCTACTCGCCATAATTTATAGCAGATAATTTATACCATGTTTACTGCTGTGTCTCTTCTCGTAAGTTCTTTAAATACATCTCTGACATTCTCAACCGAAATTAAATCTCTTTGTTTTTAGGTAAAAAAAGACAGTCACAAATTTTACTTTTTAAAATCATCTGACGTTCTTTTCTGTAGATCTTTACAATATTCGCGCTATCTAATTTCAATATAGGTCTGGTCAACTTTGTTTTATACCATGTTTATCCTCTCTTGGGTTTTAAAGGCCCGCAGATTTTTAAAGCAGACTTTAAAAGGATCAGTTGTTTGCATCTTAATGTAATTGAATAATAAAATTTTCTTGGAGCTTTTCATGGTTTCTGTCCTAGTGACATTAAATTTGTTTATGCTGTAACGATAGTTTACAAGGTTTCGCCTGCGGCTCCTTCCACATGGAATTAAAAAAAACAAAAGTGTGTAGTCTATGTGTTCTTCCAGACTATCCTCCACATCTGTACTAAATTTCATCGAAATCGGTTCATCCGTTTAGGCTACAAACTGTAACAAACATTCGTCATCCATCCATCCATCTAAACTTTATAATAATAGTAAGAGTAAGATTATTGTAAATTTTTATTGCTCCCAATTCTGTGATATGGAACATATTCCAGGCCCTGAGCTATTCGCGTTTTAAGTAAGGATGGCGTCAACTACAGCATTTTTAAGGTGGAGCTGCATCATGATAGAAGTATTGATAGGCGCGGCGGCTAGGAATCTTGGAGCCTTTATTCCACTTTCTCGCTAATGTTGCACAGTTTATAGGTTAAGCTTTTTAGGCTCAAGATAAGCTGATTTATTAATACCTCAAGGGGTACACCAGCACCCTAATAGGTTTTGATATCAGTTATAGAAAATGTTCGGATAACAATCAAGGTGTAGTTTTAGTAGATTAAATAATTATTTATTTACATTTCTAGTTATAACTTTTAGTTCGTAGTTTTAGTTATGGATTTTATTTTGGAATACAGACTTGGATCGAACATTTTGAATTAGTTTTCACTTTCGAGTATTGCTTACAAGGTAAATAAATAATAAAAACCACACGAAGTTTCATTGGACTTCCTAGCCTTCTCCTCTGACATCAACAATATCATGATTGATTTTTAGTAATGATTCACAATGATGTATGACACCTTCCTTTTTTGTATTATGTACCAAAATAATAATAAATGATAGTGTAACGCGTGCCACATAAGGAATTCTATGAGATCGGTGAACGAACGACCTACTTAACGCTGATACGTGTTTTATTACAGATCCACAAAAAAGGATGTTTCTAATTTAATAATTCTACATTATTAACCATATCAAATGTTGTATCTATACTATTATAATAAAGCGTAAACACATACTTCTTTGTTGCCTAAGATGTCAGCAATTACAGCATATTTTTAAATAATTATTTTTTTAATAAAAAGCCCTATACTTCCTTCGTAATGACTTCGTCTTCTTTAGGCCCTTTTTCTCCCTACCCTTATTCTCTTATTGAGCATGGAATGGTATGAGAACGTGGATTTGACGGTGGAGGAGGCGTATAGGAAGGGGAAATATCCTTTTTATGTGCGTCTCCTCCTCAGTCGATTAAGGGTGGGCAACGCATCTGCTATTACGAATGCTTAAGGCAGATTGCTTCGCCATTTTGGCGGATTCAGGTGGTCTTGCTTGTTTGTCACCTTATGATATAAAAAAAATTGTTTTAAATTTTATTCATACCCGATCAGCGATAATCGAATTATCTGGTAACATCCATTAACCCATCCATCAAAAATTTCGCGTTTATAATAGTAGTAAGATAAGATAACTAACTTAAAATAAATTATTGGGACAAGGTCATGATGTTCAAATATTTTTGAATATGTGAACTCTAATTATAAAAACAATTAGTCTCTAAAGTAAGCTTCAGTAGGGATTTCCTCGCGTAAGCTCAAATGTCTATTACATCAGACGACCTTCGTTTGCATACAATCGTGTGGAGAAAGAAAACGGTACAGTCGGTGCACAAACATATTGCATCATTTTGCTGACGCTCCCACTAGTATTAGATCAAATTATTAAAAACACTAAAACAGCAAATAGTTTCATTGTTTTCCAATAACTTATGAAACACTTTTATTCGTGATTACCTATTCTCCTACAAACTCAGCACAAAGTATGTGTGATATTTTCTAAAATTACTTAATACATTCACTGCCGACGCGATATTATAGTCACGAGTCAATTTCTCCCATGAATTCCTTCTAGAATTTACAAAAAGTTCGCTAAATAGCAAACTAAATGACAATGTAACGGATACTTGAAGAAAGAATTAAGCTGTTATAAAGTGGTGCAGTAGAGTGTATTGTTGATTTGGCAAATAAATTGTTAAATGTGCTTCAGGGCTTATGCGTCCGGCGTAAAACGCCACTCTGCTTCGTCACGCTTGTCACAAGCACGGAGTGCGAGTTCCCACTATCAATACATGTTTTTGAAGGCATGTTTCAGTAGTGGAAACTCAGCGTAACATTTGTTTCTCCGTCTTGGAAGCTAATAAAATAGAGACTTCATTAATTAAAATCCATTCTCATCGAAAAAACTTGTTGACTTGTTTACTTCATTTTTTTCAGTTAAAAAGAAAAGCTATTTTTTAATTAATGTAAACAAACAAGTATTTTCTTTTCTTTGTTTTTATCAATAGTCTAGGTGCTCTTAGGCCACGGGGACGAAATTTGCGACGAACGGGGCGGCTTGATAAGCGAAGCGGGCAATGTTATCAAAGTAGTTATAGCAAAATACAGCACAATACAAGCGGTAGCGGAGTAGTACTTCTGTTTACATAGCCCCGCTCCGCTGTCGCGCCGCTCTGCTCAACGCTAATTTCGTGCATACAACCTTAGTCTCTTGATGCCCGAGGCAGAATGCGCACTTAGACTCCTCTAAATAAATATATATGGGTGTTGGAAACGAAAACTTGAAATAGAGCCCATCGGTAACTAATGCCTATTACTTATCGAATAACAAACTCATGTACTCGTACAAGTACATTCAGAACTATGCAAAATTCGGGGTTAATTTAATAATTACCTATAAGAAGGAGGCGGAGGTTACCTCACTGCAAGGAACACGTCTATTTTTATGTTATTAGATCGTAGCCAGAAATCGGGATTCGAATTAAAGGCATTCCATCAATGTCCAACCAAATCATTGAATAACTAATCAACTTTTGATGATCTGCAAAATGTCTGGTACCAACAAACAAACCTTGTTAGTTGTACAAGAATTCTTAAACCAAAGCTGAAACCATACATATTTCTCCCGATTTAGTTTTAGTCAGCTAAATTTACTTAAACTATTGTAACTAGTCGAATAATACATCATGTTTTGAATCATCTTATTTATTTTTTAAGCGCACGAGTATTGTAGTTGTATCGCATTACGCAAAAGAAGCAATGTGATATGATCCGATGATCTTTAAAAAGATAACACGTCTTTATATTACACGCAAACACGTTAGTACAATCGCGAAAATCTGTGGTACTCCAGTTACAGAATATGCCTTATACTTTATAACCAGACACACTCCACACACTGCTCGCACCTCTGGGCGGGAGCACCCCAATACCAGCTTCTTCCATTTGAGCGCATACAACGGAGAGCGGCTCGAATCGGAAGAGCTCGATCGTCAACAAGCTCTTACCGATCGGATAGATCCTCTGGCCTTACGGAGGGTCGTCAGTTCCCTATGCATTTTTACCGCATTTACCACGGAGAGTGTTCAGAGAAGTTGTTCGAAACCATTCCTGCCGCCGAGTTTCGTCATCGGACGACATGACAGACCGCCAGGTACCATCCACACCATCCCGATGACTGGCATTCCACAACCGTGCGGTTTTCACGGAACTTTCTGCCCCGCACAGCCACGTTGTGGAACGGTCTGTCCTCGGCGGTATTTCCAAACCAATACGACTTAGGGTCCTTCAAGAAGCGAGCCTATCATTTCCTCGAAGCCCGGCAACGCATCTGTAGTTCCTCTGGTGTTGCGGATGTCCATGGGCGTTGATGACCTTGGTGTTCACGCCGCTCGTTTGCCCCCTTTTATTATAAAAAAAACTCCACCTCTTCTCACAAATAATCAATTGAGAACAGTGAGTTGGGCAAACGACAGGATAATAAAAAAAAAGTAATAAGCCATGTACTATTAACCGATCTTATTTCGTACAGACACATTTAAAAGCGTCTTATTAGTAATCGTTCCGTGTCGAGGTAATGCGAACAAAACGTTTAAACTACTATATTTTTTTTCTGGAACACCGCGAGATTCCCTGATTGTACTTGAGTACATAGAGGTCAAAAAGTGACTGCGATGTGACGCTCTTACACGAGATACGAATGTTCGTCTACATTACAATCATAAACAGATCACGGATAAGCTACTCTACATATTCCATCGATTGAATACATTTAGCTTCACCTTCCGTCTTTTTTTCTGAATCTTTTATATGAATACACGTGGAAGTTTTACCACATAAATATTTAGTGAACAGAACTTAGCTTTTGGTCGACCTGAATAGATTATCTTTTGACCTAACTACTATTAGTATAGTTTTTTATTAAATGTGCATCTATTATAGGCTTTAAATTTAGTCTAGGCAATATAATCTATACTAATAATATAAAGTAATATCTCAATGGGCCGATTTTAAAAATTCCCTTACCATTAAAAAGTTACGTTATCACTGAGTAACATAGATTTCATTTTTTCTTATTTTAATTACACTTGGGCGAAGTCGCGTGTATCAGCTAGTAGTCATATACATCACTGACTATTTAGTCTGACGATATATCGCCTTCAATGAACAAAAATAAGGGTGATATACTTGTTGCTTGGTGACAAATAATTAGGTAGGATCGTGTATGAATGGTCTTCGTTATGATCGATCAAAGGTATATTCCCTACATGGCAATTGTAATCTTCGGCAATCATCCTCCTCTCGAAAACATTAACAATGCCCTCGAGACGCTTTGATCATTTCGTAACGAGAGCTTTACGAGGGGAATGAGAAGATATAAAATATTAAAATAATTAAATTGGATAATATGTCGCAAGCACAAATCGTAACCAAAGATGATAAGTCTTAGTAAAATAAAAGTGTCACGGACCGACCGCTAACTAACTATCAACTAAAGTATCGCACAATTGTCGAACAAATCGATTCTCGATTGTTTCGCAGAACATTCAAGTATTTAGTTGCACAAATAAAAATCGAGTAGTGTGCGCACGTCCCTATAAGCGCATAGAAATCAAACCCCTACTAAAAAGTTGTACGATAGTTTAGTCAAAGGTGTGCGCGCTCTTATTGTTACTGTGGAAACATGGTTTATTGTAGGGCTATAACGGAACTTCGCTTCTGCATCCGCAAGTGCGGAACTTCTGTAAGAAATGATAACTCCGTATCCGCTTCCGCTTCCGTTATTTCTTATGTGGAGTTAAAACGGAGGTTAATTTATGTCTTTAACTCGAATGGGCGATTATGTATCGTTTATGCGGCCCGCACGGGCGTGATGTGTCAACTAACTATAATTGTTTATGTGTTATACATTATATTTGCATAATAAACTGTATCTTGTAATTATGTACCATTTACCATTTTGAATTAACGTAGTTTTAGTTTGTATTTCTTTAATAAATCGCAATTAATATTTTTATTGACCTCCGCTTCTACTTCCGTTAACCTCCGCTTGTGCAGAGGTGAAGCCCTTTGCCTGCGCATCCGCATCCGCTTTCGTTAAAATTGGCCTCCGTTACAACCCTAGTTTATTGTACTTAGACTATGAAGTACTTATTTACTTTAATCTTAAATTAATTTAATCAATTGCAATATTATAAAAAGGGAAAAATGTATTTTTGTATGTATTGAAACAATTCTTTCGCGTGGACGTAGTCGCGGTCAACCTAATGTTATGTAGCTAGTAACCGACTACCATGTACTTAGTCAATGTACATACATCGCCACTTAATAACGTTCTTGCCGGACAGCTGCTCAGTGAATGTTTTAATATCAGCCAATTGATCATCTTGCTCTAAATTTCCATGCTTCATAGGTACTAACTGTTGCTCACGACTTCGCATGCGTTAAATTAAAAAAAAACATAGCCAATGTATATATATATGTACTCACTGATGAAAGAATTTTTTAACTCGACCCAGTAGTTCTTGAGTTATTTCAATACATACAAAAATACAAATGTTCAAATCTTTCCTCTTTATAATATTAGCAGGTATAGATAATATCATAGATGTACGCGACGAGTATTCAGTATTCACTCCAAACTATACTGTAACTTTGAGTAAATAAAAAACTAATAGATAATATAGACTTTTTAATACATAAATAAGTTAGTACAAATATTTTTGAAACAATTAAAAAAAACATGGAAAACAAACGAATCGAGTGCATTATGCTATCCAATTTAACTTTACTATGGTGTTTCCGCATATTAATATTTTTTATTTGGTTCATCTGGTTCGCCTAAACTATAACCAAGGAATTATGTTCAATTATTCCCCTTGTGAAAATACTAACACCCTTTATAGTTTTGTACAATCGCGCAGAAAATAATTTATTATTAGGACTTATGAAAATATACGTTCCGACAAATAGACAAAAAAAGCAACATTGTTTACTAGTGTAATCTTGTTTATGTAATTTTTTATCTTAAATTTTTTTGTACAGACTCCGAGCAATGTTTAAATGTATTACATGTACATATATTTGTGTTTTGTTGTTCATGTAGGATATTACATTTTTTGTATTTTAATTATGTATACATTTAATAAAAAAAGAATTTAAGTTTAAAAATAATAAGTTTATTATAACACTTTTGTTTCTGATAGTACTCATGACATTGAATTGACACTATACAGAATGTTACATTTTTCACATACACATCGATGAATAGTTATAAATCTGCGTAACGTAACTCTGGTCTAACTCATTTAATTCTTTTTTAAATTTGTTGCTTATGTGTAGAAAAATTGTTTAATATCAGCCATTTCTTAAAACTGAGAATGTAAACAGTAAATTTAGTCTGATGATAATGTTGCCAAGGACTTTAACTTGCACAATTTAATTTAATCTAAATTTCGAAATAACATGACGAATATTTTACTATTAATTTTAAAAAATGTAAAGAGAATTTGAAGCTATTTTTTGCAACATCTCGCACGCTTCCTCTTTTTCCTGGGAGCGGGCACTCTACAAGTCCTACATGGTACGCAGTACGGTATATCTTCGTCTTCGCACTGTATCTGCTTACAGGCGTGTGTAGCCGGCTTTATTTTTGCCGGCGCTCTAGGAGTTATCAATTCAACCTGATAGACAAATGATAAATATCAGTCAACCCAAATAGATCATGATCACAATGAAATTTGATTAGCCCATGTAACCTTAGCTCGACTTTGATGATTAGACAGTCAATTGAAAGGTTCAGAATAATAGAGAGCAACAAAGTGAGAAGATAATTTCTTCATTTAAAATCTTAAAGATTCATATGAAGCTGTTTTTAAACTGTAATAACGTTCATAAATGTTTTCGTATGATTTACATTTTATGGCACTATAATCTAATAACGTAGCTACAATAACTACAATACCTTGAAGAAATAGAAATTCCTGAAACTACTCTTAACGGCTAATATGAAATACAACTTCTATGGTCAGGAAGGGTTGTCAACTCGCGAAAGGCAGCCCAAATAATCGAAGTCCCACCTTAACCCCCTCCCCCTCTCCCTTCTGTTCCTTGTGATCCTGACCTCTATTTCTGACGTGCTACTTTATTTTGAACGACGAACGACGAATGAATTCTTTAGACTAATGACGTCAATGGATGAAAAACAAAAATTAGGAAGGGTTTTTGGAATTGCTATTTATAACTAAACAAATAATATCGTGGGTTGAACATCCTTACTTAATTATATAAATTTTGTACCTCTATATTTCCAGTACGGTTGGGTTCATCTGTCTGTTTGCCAATCTGCAGGATGAAAACGTCTTTGTCTGGATGGAGAACCTTCTGCGCTTGGACACCTTTGGGGGCGTCTTTGGGGGTCACGTTGCATACGTCGCAAAGCGTGTCGTGTTTCTCTGCGGTACTATACACTACCTCAGAATTCATAGCAGTCCTATGTGTGAGCGACTCGCAGATGTCATCAGGAATCTGTACAAAGGAGATTTTAATATCTTTGCAACTTAGTGCCAATTTTCGTCCAGATCAGTTTAGATGTAGATAGTTACTGAAAACATACATCCATCCAAACATTCGCGTTCTCAATATTAAAATAGAGTAAGAAAGTAAGTATGACCTTCGCAATAGGTTTTAGTTTCGCTTAAGAAAGACAAATAAGAATAACTTCCGGCCTTGCTGGCTGATAAACAATGGTTTTCTTTTACTGTTGGTGAAATTCAAACTTCTTGATGAAATTCAAATAAACCACGACATAACAGTGGCTTAATTGTATTTCTTCAATATAAAACATGGATATATGTTTAAAGGCTGAGCTCATGAATAGAAGTAACGATTTCTTTATAAAATTGTGACAAAACAACGTCCTCAGATGAAAATGTAATGTGAGATGGCCGTAAGTGCTGTTAAGGTAAGGCTTTCAATCAACGGTCTATTCTCTATATTTATGGAGCTTTTGTCAATATTCTGTTAGATTTTTATAAAGGTGATTATTTTGTTTTTCTTTGACATAATCGTATTTCAGGTTTACCCTTCAGACAACCCTAGTTCTGGATAAAATTTGGCATAGATGTAGAGCATAGTCTAGAAGAACACATAGGTTACTTACTTTTTTTAATAACACGGGGACGGAGTCGCGGGAGAAAGCTACTTATAATATGTGTTAAGAAAGGTATTAAATGCAACAACCGAGTATGATGTATACATCTACGTATATGTTATAAGTATATTCAAAATGGTGAAAAGGCAAAAAAAGTTGATCAGCTTAAAGTATGTATTCTGGGGCTACTTCGTTGTTGTTGTTTCTTGTTGTTGTTGTACATATACCTGTATATTAAACAGATTGGCCGCTCGACCATCCCCTACAGACTGTCCTGGTAATCCACAAGTCTCGGAACAGACAGATCGGTCATCATCGCAGGTGCAGTGCTGTTGCAGTTTCAGCTGAGATGACGTGAGTTTAGGGGGCTTTGTTGTACTTTTAGGCACTCTTATTTTTACCTGCAAGATAAGTTTTTATAATGTGCAGATATCTTAATAGTTAGGGTCTACGGACTTCCTATTACGCGGTCGGTTGAAAAACGGGATTCGAACCCACTACATGACACACCTGTGACCTTAGTTTGACTTAGTTAACCATAGTTTGGAATTTATTTAAAATGGTCTTACTATTTCTATTTTAATTTTGTTAAGGTAACTGCAATTGCCGTGAATGCAAAATTATCGAGATCGCTTGTTAATTAAGTTTCTATTTCCAATTGCGGCTAACCGAGAACGGTCTTGACATTGGAAATAGTATTTGCGACTACAAGCACCTTAATACTAACTATTTTTAATTAAAAAAAAAATGTTTTGTAGTGGTGGCCATTTTGGATTTATCCTAGCCGAAGCTTCGTGCTTATTTGGGATGGTAGATCAAATAACAATGGTAAACTCTTCTCAGACGTAAATTTTAGCATCTTAAAATGAGTTATATAGGAAAGAAATTGTTTTAATTACTTATGTTCTTTGAATTTCCACGATAGAGATTAATGCGAAAGTTTAGATGGATGGGTGGGTGCTTGTTAGAGTTTATAGCCTAAACTGCTGTACGGATTTCGATAAAATTTGGCACAGATGTAGATGAACGTCCAGAAAAACATATATGCTAACTACTCACATTTTTTAATTCCACCAGGACGGTGTCGCGGGCGAAAGCTAGTACAATATAAAACAAAGGATTAAAAAGTTCATGACTAAATATCTTTTATTTTCTACGTCTTTTGATCAAATTTTTTAGCACAAATGAAGTTAAAAAACGAAACTGAGTTTGAACATATTTTTTTTTTCATTTAAAAGTAAGTATATTATTTAAATGTCAAGATATAGAGTTTGGCTTTATCCATTGTCCAGGCTGGAAATAGTTTTAACCAAATTTCCACCGGAGAGTAAATAAAATGTACATTCATTTTGTTGGTTTGCCAGATCGGGTAATTTATTTTATTTCCATGCTTATTTCTAAAGCCATATGACAAGACGAAATAATATAACCTCGAACAGTATAAAAGATAGCAATGATTGGGAGCTCAAATTATGTCACGTGTACGACTACACGTGCCCGTTTGGCGAAATGAATAAAGGGCACAAAAAATTAATACTCGTCAACTGAAGTTATTGAAACCACAATAATTCGCATAGAGCTGAAAATTAGGTATGTTTGGAATACTGCATGTGAATTCTGAATGCCCTTATCGATTATGCATTTGGTAAAAAAATGGACACATAAAGTTAAAAAATCATGTTTTTTATCTTTTTTCGCCGAAATGGTAATAGATCTAGGTCACAGACTAGGATCATCATCACCACCACCACCACCACCACCACCACCACCACCACCATCATCATCATCATCACCACCACCACCACCACCACCATCATCATCATCATCACCACCATCATCATCAACTTGCCCTTATCGTTTTTGGAGGGTCGGCCCAGTATGTGCTGATTTCCCATACAACTCTATTAGCTGTCATATCTGAATCCACTCCGACACTTAAATTTACATGCTTTTTATACGATTAGATAGGTAAACGAACCTGTTACCGCCAGTTTAAGCGTTGTTCAGATTGATATCCAAAAATAAGCACGTAGTTTAATTGATGTCCAATGAAAATATTTTTTTCAATAGTGAATTCATCTATCTTTTTAGTCATATATAGAAACAGTTATACAGATAATGGCTTAAAAGATTAAAAATAAATATAACAAAAAGGGGGCCATGTCTAGAATTGTTAAAAGGCGTGAGTCTTCCGAGTCTTCGACTCATTCAAAGCTCGAGTCTCTTATAAAGGCTCGAGTCGGGGCTCGAGCCTTATTGCGAGGTTCGAGCTTCGAGTCGAGCCCTTGTTGCGAGGCTCGAGTCGCGACTCGAGCTCTGTTTTGAAGGCTCACTACACAACGTTTTTCTCTAAAATAAATCTACTAAATATGTTATTTAAATAATGCATTTTTATTAACTAAATGCTTATAACATACTTTTATTACAATTTTATACCTCCTCCAATAGAAGAAAATAACAGTACAACCAGTGTTATCCCTAGTTATTAGAATTACCCACATTACTATTAACTTTTTTGTAACAACTAGCTGTTGTCCGTGACTTCTTCCACGCGAAATTAAGATAAAAAAGTAAACAGTGGTAGAGCCCGCTTAAACGTCTTCGCGTGAATGGGTCGACTCGCCCGATGCAATACCACGACCACACAGAAGACAGGCGTGAAGTGGGAGCAATTCTGCTTTTAGACTGATGAGTATGGTGCCGGAGGCCCAACTTTAGTTCATTTTCCTTCCTACCCTCTTTCTTTAAAGATGGGAAGGGAATGTGCATTTGACGTTGGAGGAGAAGCATAAGAAGGGAAAATATCCTCTTTACCATATGTGCGTTTCCTCCGTCGATTTAGGGTAGGCAACGCATCCCCTATTGCGAATGTCTATGGGCAGCGGTTGCTTCGCCGTTTTGGTGGATTCAGGTGGTCGCTTGCGTGTTTTCCACCTCATGACATAAAAAATAGCCTATAATATGCCCGTCTATGACATGCTACCCTTCAGTGAAAGTCCGGTCGAAAGTTAAAAAAGTTTGTTTTCATCCGTTAAACCGTAGAAGTAACCGGAGAATATAAATATCGCTGATGAAATGGACAGATACATAAATATGCCTATTGAGCCTGAAAACACAAATGTACTAATATGGTGAAAAAAATTGTCTTGTCAATCTTGGCTCAAAAAGTATCTGAAGTTTTTGTATACCAGCGACAAGTATTCCTAGTGAACACCCTTTTAGAAGTCGGGTAATAAACAAAAAAAGTTACAGGCTGACCAACAAAAATATCCAGGCATTAATGCGCTCATCGTCATGGTCAATAATCGAATAATTAGTCATTACATAATAGAGTTTTCTTATTTTTGACTTTTTATATCATTTTATACGTACTTCAGACAATTAAATAAAAATATTTCATATTAATATTATCAGGTATACGAATAAAGCTCGAGCTTCGACTCGAGTCCTAAATTTAAGACTCTGAGCCTTAAAGGCTCGAGCCTTAAGAGCTCGAGCTCTTAAGGATAGGATAAGGATCATAGGAAGGGAAAATGACTCTTTATGTGCGTCTGCTACGTCAATGAAGGGTAGGCAACGCATCTGCAATTGCGGATGTTTATGGGCAGCGGTCGCTTTCCATTTCGGTGGATTCAGGTGGCCGCTTGCTCGTTTGCCACCTTATATAATAAAAAAAGCTTATGATATTTGTGTGGTTATTATGGAACAAACAAATAAATGTGCATTAAAACAACTAGAAGTTAAATTAAAATGCTTGACCATATAATATTCTGCTAACAAAGAAACGAGAGTGCTTACGTGATCAAGAACGCCACAGCATGGAAAATGTACTATAGCCGAGGTTCACACACGCAAACAAGGGATGAACTTTTCCAATATACATAAATCTACAATTTTTCTAAAGCAACCACTCGTGTATTTTTAACACATCGCATGAAAATTATAATTTTCTGAATAGGTGTAGATTTTGAGGTGTCGTTATTAGGTGCATTTACGTTACTCGTTTGTGCTTTTACCGAATGGCCTTTACTTTTGATGTCTAATGAGACAGTTACGCACTATCACGTACTGCAGTTGGTAAAAAATACACCAAGTTCACTTATTTCCACAAAGCTCATTTTCACATAAGTGTTGCAGAATATTGTAAGTATTACTAAATAAATACTGGCAGACAATTTCAGTCTTACTTTTTCAAAAACAGTCAATTTAAAACTGCCAAAAATTAGACTAAACTTTACTTCCATTTTTAAATTTTGCACTCTGTGGTCTATAACAATACCCCCCGCAAGAAGACAGACGTTTCCGATGGGGCAAACGGCCTGCCAGACACTTCCATTTGCGCGTGGCTGGTAACACTAAAACGTAAATATTAGAACTTTTCTTATTTTCAAATGCTTGATTTTTATATATTATATTCAGAGGCCTATAACAATACCCCCTGCAAGAGGATTGACGTTTCTGATGGGGCAAACAGCCTACCAGACACTTCCATTTACGCGCGGCTTGTAACACTGAAACGTAAATAATGTAGCTTTTCTTGTTTTAAAATGCTTGATTTTTATATATTACACTCAGTCAAGCTTAAAGTTATTTGTTATGCTAAGTAATTATTTGTAATACCCAAAATCACATTAATTATTAATATATGTTATAAAGTATATTGAAATTTTAACAATAACTATATTTAAATATAGGTATATAAAGAATTGGATCGTTACAAAAATAATTAGGTTGTTAAAGTCGTTATGTACACGTGAAGGCTCATTATATACCCCCTCCCTGTCCTTGTGATATTTGGTGACTTTTCCAAACCCCTCCTCTTTTTCGTAGCTCACGTGTTCAACGGACGATCTCAAATATGAATTTCGCCATTACGGAATCGGAATCGGGACTTTAAACGTGGTGCTCCTTTAAATTAAATTAAGGATTGTTTAATATTATTTGTTATGATTAGATGTGATAATATTAAAAAGATTATTTGCGAAATAATTTTGGATTGAGAGGTGTATAAATCTGAAGTATTTTGTAAATCTTAGTTAGCATGAACAAATTAAATTTTCCAATATAAAATCGAGTGGGCGCAAGGTAAAGAAATTGCGACAACATTTCTATTGTTAGAAGGGGTGAACCTGCGTACTAGTGCGCCGGCATTGATAATATGTTCGCCTCCCTTGGCGGACGCAGTGTAATGTTATAATTATGTCTTAACGGTCTTGTGCTACAAGTGTCTGGGGGTGATAGTCGCCTGTGACTTTTTTATCTTACTTTGTGAGTGATAGTGGTATTTAGGCGCTGAATATTTTTTGGAAGTGTTTGCAATGTAAGTATTCTATTTTATAAAAAAAAAATTCTGTAACTTTTAAACTGTTTAATTACTATGATAAGAAAACTTTTCTTACATTTCTCCAATGTAACTTTAAATGCAAAAAAAATATATTTAACTGCGCCTTCCAAAATAATTTAGCAATTTATCTTATTTAAGTGCTATGCGTTTCTTAAAGGGAAAAAACTTTTAAGCATCTATAGTCTGAAGTTTATGAATTACCTGAGTTAGTGCGTTTTTGTTTTTTTTTTAATACATAGAATACGAACTAGTGAATTTTATTAACATTTACAATCATGTACATTATTATCAAGCTATAATCGGTGCCGTGGAACTGTAATTTTTAGTTTTACTCGTAGTTTTTCGCCTTGTTTTATTTTTTATTATAACTAATAGATTTAGATAGGATTTTTTTTATTCGTGTTCATGTTCTTAAATAAAACAGTAACATCACAACAGTAAGACGATACCTTCGCGTGTTTGGCCAAATTAATAGTTACAAAGAACATGCATCCTTACTTGATAGACGACACTTTTTTAGTCTAGTTATGTTAAAAAAGTAATGCATTGTGCTATTTTTAACTGTACAAAATAAAACATAAACTTACCTCATTTCCATTGAATATAGCGCCTATTTCTTCGTAAGGTTTTCTAACTTTTTTAGCTTCTTTAGGCTTTTCCATTCTAAACACAATTTTCTAATTTATTATAATAAAGGTAAGATAAAATATAATAAAAAAGATAAACGGCACTGTAATTTACAATTAAATTGTTTTTGATTATTTTGACATAAAACTCACAGAATAAATATCAAATTAGTTACATGCTTTTTTCTTTCAATTTAAGTTTGACAACCAAACAGCTTCAAGACAACTTGATCATTTCTATCAAAACGAGGAGAAAGGGTTTTTAGTTTTTTTTCCTCGTTATTAGAACCATATTAAATTCTTCATTTTAACTTTAATGGCGATTTTCAAATATTTTCCGTATTTTACGCTTGGTTTACGTAGCTATCGTCATTTAAGTACTCTTGGAAAAGGTAGATAACCAGTATCCAGAAGCAGGCGTCGCCAGCCGATGATCTGACTAGGTTTATGGGGGAACACCCATTAATATGGTCTAATTCTTGGTATTTTTGAAACATATTTTACACTTATCGATTCTTTGGGGAGAGGGGGGGAGCAACTACCCCACCCCCACATATGTTATAGTTTAGTAAATATATCAGTAATGGACACCCACGGTTCGATCAGGATTTCTTGTCTACTGAGCCCGACATATAAGAATCCGCTTTTCTTAGAAACCTACGGAGTTATAAATGTTTATACTGCTGATATTTCTAATTATTTCATATAAATGTAGTTAAGTTATACCGTTTTATTATCTTTATAGCGTTGAAAAAAATACTTGGCGAAACAATTCTGAAACATATTCTTTACTCAGACACTCTGTATCGATTTTATTAAAACTTAATGTGCAAATATGCTGAGGGAAATGAGTACACTTAAAAATAAAACATGTTGGTTAGAATTACATAATGTTATTAGGTACAGAATTAGTAGTCCTCACAGAAAACAGGCGTGAAGTGGAAGCAATTCCGCGTTTCGGCTGATGAGTGTGGTGCCGGAGGCCTAATTTTAGTCCCTTTCCCTTTCCACCCTTTTCTTAAGAGGGAAGGATGGGGAGGAAAATTGGATTTGACGGTGGAGGAGACACAAAGCAACGGGAAATGTCCTCTTTAAGTGCGTCTCCTCTTCCGGCAACGCATCTGCAATTGCAGAAGTTTATGTGCAGTGGTCGCTTTCGATGGATTCAAGGGGCCGCTTGCTCGTTTGCCACCTTATGTTATAAAAAAAAAGGTCATTTTTACTTTCAAATGATGTTTGTAGTATACAGATTCATTTTTTTAAAAAACATAATTAAGTTAATACTTAATTATGTTTTTTAAAAAAGAACTTAGGATTCTTCTCGAGCTCAATAGAAGTAGACATTATTTTAATATAATATCACTTTTCTTGTTGTACCCTATGGTGCAATGGTTAAGATCTATTGACGTTACATTCGCCGCGACGTGACGCGACGTCCTTGTCCGCCAATTTCACCGGCTGCAATCAGTCAAAATGTTAGGTATAAAGTGGCCTCAAGATCCGATGTACAATCAGTACAGACTCACTATCCAAACATCAATCATCAAGGATTCCAAGACGACCACGATGAGAACACTGGTCGTGCTTGCCCTACTGGGTTGCTTACTAGCTGTGTGTTCAGGACATGAATCTGATCAACAAGAAGGTGACTTAGCCGTCGCGGCGACGGGGCACAAAGGCGGCCATCATCATGAGGAAGGCGGGGGCAAGGAACACCACGGCCACCACCATCATGAACACGGCCATAAAGAATCTAAGGGACATAAAGGGCATCACCATCACCATAAAGGTGAACATGGCGATCATCACAAGCATCATCATGCCGGACATCATCATGAACATGGAGGTGGTCATAAGAAGCACTGGGATGAAGACGAACACCACGGTCATCACCATGAGCATGGACATCATCACAAGGGAGGCAAGCATCACCACAAGAAACATCACGACAAAGGCGAGGAAACCGAAGGATACCATAAGAAGTATCATAAGGACGAATTCCACAAGGATCACCACTTCTACGACGACCATCACAAAGGAGGCAAGCATCACAAGCACGGACATCATCATGGACACCACGGCGAACATGGCGGTCATCACAAGAAAGGTGGTCATCATCACTCCGGCCATCACGAGCACCATCACGGCAAGGGTGGTCATCACGATAAGCACCATCATGATGAAGATCACAAAGGCCACAAGGGACATTCTGGACATGAAGAACACCATCATCATCACGACGATCACGGCAAGAAGGGTGGACACGAGGGCCACAAGCATTGGGGATTCCATCACGGAAAGCACTGAATTAGTTAATTGTAAGATAATTGTTTTTCTATTATTGATACACTATAAACAGTTGCACTTCGTTTTATAAAGTTTTGATACATTAATTGACAAAGTTGTTTTCTTGATACCTAAATATCTAATTACACAAGATGCCGCCACTATTTGTAACGGAAGTAAACTAACAATAAGCGCGTAAGTACTTAGTCTGTATAATATGAGTACAAAATGCGCTGAAACAGAAAAAAATAAACGAAACCGTTAAACGTGTCGTCATCATTGACACAGAAGCATTATTGGAAAATCTGCAACAATATCATTGGCTCAGATGTCTGTTTGCAACCGAACAAATCAATTGTTATCTCGCTTTCTAAGATGTTAAACATTAATGGTCGAATTTAAACATTCATTTTTATTTAAACGTTCGCGAATTTGTTTACTTAGTTATTAGATAGCTTGGTGCGAAATTCATAATTTTTGTTTTAAAAACCATTACGATAACTATAAAAATGATTTTGATTTTGTCCAGTGTATGTTTCTTTTTGCGCAATATAACATCTTAATCTTACTAATGTTATAAAAGCGAAAGTTTAGATGGATGGATGGATGTTTGTTAGAGGTTGTAGCCTAAACGGCTGAACGGATCTTGATGTAATCTGGTATAGACGTAGAGTATGGTCTGGAAGTAAACATAGGCTACTTAGTTTTTTTTTTAATTCCACGCGAAAGAAGTCGCGGGCGAAAGTTAGTTATCTATAACTCTGTGTGTCTAAGCTATAGCTGAGCAGTTGAAGTATATAGTTCTTTAATATTCATTCTTTATTTGATGTGTCTGGTGCGATCACTGTCAATTACGCTGAAATTATAGTTGTATTCAGAAAGAGCGAAAAAGTCTCTTGCAATTAATTACCTAGGAATCGATGTTCGCGTTGTAATTAAGATAACAAGCTACTCAGTCGCAATATAGATTGTTTTTTTCAGGCTTAGAAAACAGAGGGATGATTAAAATACGATTTTCTATGAATTAAAACAGTGAAAAATCACGATTATTATTGAGTGATGCTGTATATTGCTACAAAACTGAAGTCTCATGTAAATATGTACATACATAAATCGCTTTACCTGAAGTGCGCAAATCCTGTTGCATTTCAAATAGCTTTTTTGTTCGACGCGTTTTTCTCAATAAATAAACCATGACCTACGCCAATGTTTGCTTTTAATTTTCCCTTTCGTCGCTGTTTTAGTGAAGTACCATTTGTTTAAAACAACCTATATTGCACCTATACAAATAATAGGAGCAATAAAAAGGAAATTTTATTTTAAATATGTATGTGTAAGTGAAGCGAAAGATGCATAAAACTAATTTTAAAAATAGAACATAATTAATAATAAATTATGGTCTAATTTCGGTAAACCCTTAATTTACCAGGAAACCAACACGTACACAGAACACCTTTCCGAAATTTAATTCTAATCTTCTGAATACATAAAAAGTTACAGTACATTTTCAGCTTCATTTCAATGAATCGAACAAGATTTTACCCGATCCCATCCCTTTCCCGTCGGGAGCCGGGAACGTTATTGAACATTTCTTACTGAGCCGTGTCATTGTCGGGCCAAGGTGCCCTTGCCAGTGCACGGCGCATTATAAATCAGGTGAGGCGCTTTCAATATACAAATTTATTCCGGAATAAAAATTGTAAAAACAACATTTCAGGTATACGAGTTACTTTTTATGTCTCGATGATGTCACAACTCCTTTAGGCTTCATATCTACACAATTTCATTTTGAATCACAATTTCATATCTAACAAAATAAGCATGTTTTTAACTATAGCTTTATCAAAGAAATTAAAATTTATTTCATATTGAGGGCGTTCTTGTGTCCGCTTCGGTGTGCATGTGTCTGTACATAATTAATCTGACAAGAGCTTTCTTATAACGTGGGCTAAAGATTCATAATTTATGTAGATGACTACATGCAAAAGCACATCGGTTTATTCAGTCGTGTAATGACGTAGGTGCTCCTCTAAGGTGCTCATATGCGTCACATAAACGGTAAAGATAAAATAGAGTAATTATCCCATAGAATTTTCATAGAATCAATGATTGAAAGTAACCTAGTTACTTTACTAATATTCCTAGTTCAAATAAAGTCGAAGTTTGTGTTAACTTTACGGTTCAGTACAAAATTCGAATTCGAATGACAGGCTTCGAACTTACGACGAGCAATTCGGAAATCCCTACCACTATTAGACGGATCCTATTGTTAAAATAAATGTAATATGAAACAGCGTTTGGTTAATCTTTTTTTTAGTATACTGAGCAGTAATTTTAGCGGACGTTCTTTTTTATAGTTACTTACAGAAGAAATAAAATGTAATAAATAGCCATCATATAATTTCTGGATTTGTTTAACTTTCTGCTTTTAAGGTTTTGGTTTAGAGTAACTTATAGCGGTATAGAGAGGAACGCGCATTGAAATTATAGATTTCAAATTTTTTGGTTGTTTATTTCGTTTTTGATATTCTTTGTGTGATAAATGAAATATAATAAATTTGTACTTAATTTTCTAAATCCAATACGTATTTTATATGATAAGCGTCAATGGTTTAAAATGTAGGATCCAATAAGGTTAGATTTTATTTCTTTCTCTTAGTTGTTTTCATGCAACCACATGGTTCGCATTCGGGTTCGCATTGAGTTTCCCGCGTCTCTATTCGGCACGGCGCTTTTTTTTGAGGTCCTTTAGGGGTCACCAATTCAAGTTCCAATTTACAACGGCGGTCTCCGTTTGCTCCAATTTTAGCTACCTATAAAAATACATGTTTTATTTTTTTGATGCTAACACATTCTAGTATCATTCCACGGTAGACTAAATAATGCGGTAATATGAAAAATATTAAATATATTGTAGACCTTCAAGACAAACACATCTTTTCTAGGATGTAGTACAGCTTGTGCCTGCCCTGGCGGTGGCACGTTCACTGGCACCATGTCACATAGCCAGGGGCAAGGCTTTTTTTCAAACTTGAGTTTTCCCTTCATTTGGGTCCCTTTCGCTTCCTTCTTCTCAGTATTGGCTGCCATTAATGCTTATATTTAAAATACTGATGATTTAGAAATTGTATTGTCAAACACACTTGTCAAATTAAGACGCAAAGAGAACCATCAAGATGCTCTATTCTAGAGTATAAGTTTACAAATATTGTAGATAGGTGATTTAAATATGACAGCTCTTGCTTCTTTTAGACTTATGAACGTGGCAGCAGATTTATATCCCTGTTATTAGTTCCAGAAATCTTCACCCCTACCAACCGCAACCATCAGCGCCAAAATAGCGAAAATCAAATAAACACATAATACCACGGTTTATAGCCTATCAGTGAAATAATGGGATTAGAAGAATCGTCTAGATTTAGTTTATAAAAATAGAGTGTTTATTCTGATGTGTAACTTTTTGACTGTGGAAGGAATTGGGAGAGGCCTATGTCCAACAGTGGGCAGACAAAGGCTGATAATGATGTAACTTCATATTTCGTGCACTTGATGTTTTTGTTTGTATGTCCACGTTCGTTCCGGGTAAACTCTAAATTGGCGGCAACGACTTGTACGGGACTGTAAATAAGAGATTTCCATAGATTTGTTTTCAACTCCACGTTGAAAGTTACGAGCAACATCTAGATGATTTTCTGTATGATTAGTTAGGTCTTGGTCAATTTTCAGTCGTCGAGAAAATGTTGGTTGCTTCACTATTTTTTACTTACCTAAAGATTTTTTTCCTTGATTATAAGAATGTCTCCCTTATTGTAATGTCTTAATATTATAGAATAATAATTAATTGATAATTTATAGTATAGTACAGAATACATACTTCCTAACATCCACATTAAAACAAACATAGATAAACCATTTTTATTGACTTTAAAATTAATTTGATTATAATTTTTAACTTTCAGTTTAAATTATCTTTATTCGCAACTAGGTGTAATGTTATAATCATTCTAAGCATTTAGTAGAACAGTCGCTTCTGCATGTCATCAAAGGTTTGCATGGCGTCATAGAGCAAATCCTACGCGGATAGCAAGCTACGACATTACAGCATCTAACGCAAGGCATAAATATACTTTTGCAGCGCAGGACTGGGCAGACTTTAGTTTTATTAAGGCATGGTGAAGTTCGTTTTGGGTGTGCTTTAATTCGAGGATGACTTCGAGCACGTTTCGGACGCTTACGTCCTACAGGACAAGGTCGTAGACAGGGAGAACTGCACGGTGACCTACACGGATTTTTGCAAGGGGGCGACGGAGGGCATGGGCTTACACATGGAGATGGATTTGGTGAACAGGTGATTACTGGTAAGCATGTTGGAATGGAGCGGCATGACTTTCCGCAACACGATGACCTACAACATCTTTTGCAAGGCAATCCTGGGCATAACGGGACAGGTGTTGGGCTGCAAGGTCGTTTGTATATTTTACTGGTATGCTTCGGTCTACACGATGATGGTCTGCAAGATGATGGTCTACAAGATATGATTTTATACTTCGATTGTCGGCATGATGGCTTGTGCTGAGATCCGAGACAAGAGCCGGGGACCGTGCACGATGGTGTCCGACACGGTGGGGGTGTCCATTCTAGCATCAATTCATTTCTCGCCAGTGGAGCGCCAGTCATTTTACGAATTACCAATTCGAATACACCGCGGCGTGGATTGTTCACTGTAGATACTTTTACAGGACCTTGTTCTTCTTGTGTTGTAGCAGCAATACAACTGGGACCCTGACACGGATCTTTCCCATGTACCGGACACGGCTGCGTCGGCGCTATTTTAATATGGGATACAGTCGCCATCATTTCGCCCTTGACCGTACCGAGTGCTGGACATGGTTTTAACGGAGTCGTTTTAATTGTGACTGATTTTGGACCTGTGCTTGAATTATTTTCTGTAATTTTTTTTGTTTGCATTGATACGCAACTTTTAGAAGCACAGGCCTGTGTGGAAACTGCTGTCGGTGTACACTTATGCTGACTGCTTTTCATTGAATCTTGACTTCCCATCCCCTTATTCAATTTAACTCCATCTTTTTTCTTACCAAAGAAATATATGCTTTGGTTGCGGAAATGACTTGGAATAGGATTTTTGTTGTTAAGGTACAACAAATTTGTACTGGAACGTTTAGCGTTGTAATTTGAACAGTTAATTGTAGGGATAATTTTGCTGCCGTTAAACTGTAGACACTTGTTAATAGAGCCAGTAGCTTGCGTCCCAGTACTTTGTCGACGAGTGTAATCTTCAAACAAAGTCATATAGACCGTGGTCTCGTTTTTCCCGAATAAAGCATTCTCTGCCTTATTGATCATATTAGATTTTTTTGTAGTCAGGTGAATGGCTTGATTTTGTGAGTTCCAGAAATAGTCGACGGTTTTTGCAAAAGTAACGCTTCTATTTTTTGATCTTATAGCGCTGACAGTACAGATGGAACTATTCGAAAATAAATCAGCTGTACCTGAATTTGATTTTTTCCCTTCCTCCGAGATACTTGTATCCGTTAGCCATTGGGAACTTTCACTATTTGACGTGTATTCACTTTTCAGATCAGTCTTCATACCATTTTCATATAAGTTTAGAATTGCTAATTCTATCTCGCTTCGAAGATTAGGGTTATTTATCCCTATATTTTCTTCATCGTACGGCACATGCAGCGAAGTACCTGAGACGAGATTTTAATTTACGGTGAACTTAAATTATTATTCCCTTAAAACTTAATTGCGAATTAAATTTTTTGATACATCTGTGTCTGAATAGGGAAAAATTTAAATTAATTTGTCGGACAGTGTTTGTCTGATTCGAAGTATATGTAGAAAATATGTGTACATATAATAAGTATAAACTAAATTTTTAAAGACATTTATGTTATGCGAAGAAAGCTAAATACTTTAATAATAATATTATATACCGCAAGTGAAGACCTGTGTTGGTTAAAGAGCGTAGCTACAATCAAAACATCAATGACATTTTAATTTCTTTATATTTAAAGCACGGAGACACAAGTTAATATTATATTAAATACACTTCGAATAACAACAACCGGTACATGTGCGCGGGACGCACTGAGTGGTGCGAGTATCGTTCACCGGTATTACAGTTTCTTGATTCACGATAGGTGTTACAAACTGATACTCTAGTTTTGATTTACGTCCCTGCATTTCTACAATTTTGGCAACACGCATTTTAATCACTTGATTAGGGAAATCGTAGACAACACCGTGGTAATCTGGTGCAGTGTGAGATACTAGTTGACCCGGTTCTTCCCTAGCGAGATCTCCGACTCCATCTGATGTGAAGTTGAAGTGAGCCCGTTGTTTGTGTCCCGTGCTGCAGGAATCCATTGGCAATTGAAAAACTATCTTGTTACCCGGGGGGCAGCAATCTGCACAATTTAATAACTGACAATGTTACAGTAATAGAGGCACAAAGACGATATCAGAAAAGCGAACAGATTTCTATAACCTAAAAAAATTTAAACTAATTGCTTTAAGTCAATAACAATAATACAATTTTTATAAAACTTTTTAAGTTAACTTCTTTTTTCCCTTAGTCTTTTTTAATCGACCTATACAACAGTCACAGTCTGGATCGGATTGTATTCGCGCATTTGCTTTTAATACAGGTGGCTTTTTGTCAAGTCCTTTGGGTGTTACTACTTCAAATTCCAATTTGCATTTTCTGTCTCCTAAATTAGCAGTTTTGGCCACTTTTAAAACAAAAGTGTTCTTATTTTGGCTTGTTAATACGTTTGGATGTTTGGTATCGCCGCGAGCTAATGCAGCCTGGCCGTGTTTGGAGGCCTGGACGCACCCTTCAGTAGTGCACGTGAATTGTGTGTTAGCGGGCTGAGCCCCATTACAGCATATCGCCTCACTGGGCATAGTTAAACTAATTTGATTTTTTCCACATGGGGCTTGGCATGGTCCTTCATTTTTGTTTTCGGTATATGGGCTTTGCATTGAGCAATGTGTTTGACTTATCTTCTTTATAATAGCAGAGGTAGCGGGCACTTTAATTTTTAGTTCGTTACCACCCAAATTAGTTCCGATTTCTTCAAATTGTTTACTGCGACCTGGTCACCAAGAAATTATAACTAAAGCAACTAGGAGTACTCTTAACATAGTTGCTTAAAGGTATATCACACGAAACTAAATTGTAATAATGCGCTTATCGACATAATTTATAATAACGAGTAAGGAGTTTACATAAGCATGCTCACCTTTAGGTACGTGTAAACAGTATTGGTCAGTATTTCTGCATATCATTTTTTGCTTTGCTTGAGATTTTGGCCCGGTACAAAAGCAGGGGTCGTCTGGTTCTTCACATGGCATACTATTAAATGGGTCCCGCGCTGTAACATGTCATTTTACAATTAAATTTATTATATAAACTCTACTTCATAATTTTTATGTGTAAGTATCAAACACATTACCAGGTGGGCACACTCCACCGGTAGCAGGTCCGCTTACAGTGCAAGAATGTCCACTTGTGCCTCCTAGAATTCTTTTGTTTCCGCAAACACAAGGATCTTGAGCGGATTGAAATTCTCTTGGAGGCAAACATGAACGATCTACTGATGCTGATGCTCCACTTGATCTAGCGTTAGTTGCACCCGTGCCTTGGAACTTTGTCACAATTAATTTCCCAAAACAAGATATGCGTAAAAACATTATAATTTCTCCTGATTCTCCTTGATCTTTACTGACTATCTTAAACGAGTCCTTCAAAGCTTGGTAACTAACGTTATTGGGATCTTCTAGATATTTATTACGAGCTTCAACAAATTCTTTGGTCATATCAATTTCACATTCTCCTAATATAACTTTAGAGGGTAGACAACCACAAGGCAGAGATTGATAAACTGTTACATGAATCGGAAATTTAGACATGGCTTTACTGATCAGATCTTCTTTAAGAGAGAACAAACATGATTTTCCGCTATTGAAAGTTTTCGTGAAAGGTCCATCACTTCTCGCCACATTGCTTCCTGTCTCATCGTCGCAAATTTCGAGAGTCTGTACCGATGGACATTCGATGCTTACACAAGTTCTGAAATCCTTATCGGTGAAACATGGAACTTTTGATAAAACAATTTTGTCTATCAATACCTCGAGGAGGAAGAGGCTATCGTCTTTTTGTGCCATCTTATACAGGGGATGGGAAGTTTATTTTAATTATTTTTTTAAGATTTTCCAAGCATACTTAAAATTTTGACAAAAATAATATTTAACAAAAGAAGAATTGGCGTATGGTTGACATAAGATCTTTTGACGTATTTTTTTATAAACACAAAGCTTATAGAAACTTCTTCAACCTGGTAAGAATGGTGTTGTAATCGCGGTTAATTATTTCACAAAATATAAATATTGCGAAAGTAAGGAGTAAAAGGTGAGCATGGTATGGGCATGTTATGAGGAGGGATGATTCGCATGTTACAAAGAGAACGTTAGTTATGAGTGCGGAAGAGTACATCAGTAGAGGTAGACCTAAATATAGATGGATGGATTGCGTGAAAAGTGACATGATCAAAACGGGAGTGATGACTGAGATGACGTATGATAGAGTTATTTGGACGACAAAAACCTGTCGTGCCGACCCTACAGGAGTAGGATGAGGATGATGATGATGATAAATATTGCGAAATGTAAAATTATAACCCTTGGTATAACCAGTTAGACCATTAGAAATGTAACTAACTATTAATTAACTGGTGGAGGTGTTTACGTAGTAAATATGGAGTATTTCTAAATATATATGGAAAATTAATCTAAACCAAACAAACACAAAGTCACTTTTGTGATGAGTTTATTATTTTTGCGTTCATAACAGACTTGTCGACAGAAATTGTAGGAATTCTGGGTGATTGGTGCTAAGTATAAAAGAATCATTTCGAAAATTTCCGTAGAATTCCATCGAATTTTCGAGTTGGGTACTTTCTGTAGTACCAATTGCAAGCCTCATGTTTGAACGGTCTCCCGACTCTGAAAAATAGACGAATTTAAAACAACCGAAAGAATTCGGTTAAATTTTTTTATACTATTACTTCGTTTACCACTTTATCTAAATATTATCCTTATTGTTTTATTGCTAAGCAAAGAAAAATGGAATGAGATGTGATGCAAACAACGTAGGGTAAAAAAAAAATTACAACAGAACCTTTTCTGGCGTGCTTGGAATACACCCTGAAGAATAGAACCTTCATTACAATCTATTCTATAGTTTATGAAAAAATTTAAACCGAAGGGATACATTACTTTACTACTTTGAAATGATTTAAATGAAAAAAATTCTGTCTACTTCAAAATCTATAAAGCTGTCCCTACTTTATTGAATAAAATCGTACTCATCCATTAGTTTATGAATTTGTTCGGCAGGCAGCTTGGTGTTTAGACTTGGATATTGTCTCCATCTACCTAAAGCTGTATCGTCAATATCAATTCTAGATTGATGTCTTTTTGTTTCACTACCCTTGCAGTCTCTACAGTACGGAGCGATCGGTTTCTATAGGTAAATGTTAAAATATAAATTAAACTAAATCTCGATAATCACACGAAACTCTTGAACCATATGAATAACCGTAATCCGTTTATTAGGAATAATTAGTGATGAAAAATTTTATTAACCGCATTTTCTTGACCGCTTCCTTTCAATCCATCGCAAGCGTGGAGGCGTCGATACTTTACGCAATCGAGATCATAACTGTAAGCACGAGGAAAAACGTCCTGGTGGTCTGTAATAAAACGGTTTTAATATTCAACTTATTACTACTGGAGTATATCTAGGGCGTGTATTTCGATTAATTTAACTATTTAATAGATTATTTCACTTATGCATCCCTGCAACTGTTAGTGTAAATAATCTACAGATAATATAAAACTAGTTCTGTAGTTGAATTTTAGTTTCGCATTCAGCCATGTGGCGCTGATACCTTTTATATCATAATTTAACTCCTTCAGTGCCACATCGACTTTCAAGTAGGTGCTAAAGTGTACTCACAGGGTCACAGGGCGAATCGGTATCGCTGTAAGTGTAAAAAAATGTTTTATTGATTCAAGGTGCAGAGTTTCTAAGAACGTACGTGGTTTTATCTTTTCAGTCATCATTTCGTAGTTGTAATAAGCGTCGTGAAGTGTGTAAGCATTCGCTCCAGGCTTGTCAACCCAAAATGCTTTGTCCTTCTGCAGCATTTTATTGATGACGATATTCGATAAGTCATCAATATAAGGCCTGTTAAAATATGAAAATATAATAAAGGTCCACTTAAAATGTATTTCACTGTATTCCGCTATTGCTCGCGACTTCGCTCGCGTGATATTATAAATAATTAAAAAATATAGCCTATGTTACTCACAGACAAATTACCTTTCCAATGGTGAAAGAATTTTCAAAATCGGCCCAGTAGTTTGTGCGTGAATCAAACACATACAAAAAATGAAAAATACAAACTTTCCTCTTTATAATATTGGCATAGATTACTATATTCACGATGAGATATATAATTGTAACTAAGAAATTACACTACCGAAGCATTTCTAACTATTAAAATAAATCTAATAATGGATGACAATAAATAGTAATATATAGGTAGTGTTATAATACTTCGGTGGCACTTCATCGAGCTCTCTTGTAAGCGGCCGAAGGTACATTCCAATGGTTCTTTGTGTTAGACATGGCGGTCTTTGCGGTGTTAGACTTTCGTCTGTACGCACCGTTAAAGAAATTCCACTAAGATCATATCTACAAATATAACAATATAGTTAATATAAATAAACAGACAAGTAGTTTGCTTACATATTAGGCCTATAGGAATTGTATGCAAATTAGTATTTTGAATTAATGTATGAATATGAATTACAACTGGAAAAATAGAGAAAGCCGGACTGAAGATAAGCAGAGTGAAACGGAGCAATTGTTCTGCGATTTCGGAGGCTTATCCAGTTTTATCCAGATTGCCTTAGATGGCTGGGATATAAGCGCCATTGCTCCGACTTCCGGTACCTCGGCTCATTAATAAAAAGCGACGGCGACACTGACCGTGACGTGACAAAAAGCAGGATGGATGAAATGGCGACAGGTTACAGGAGTAATATGCGACTCTCAAATTCCACTTAAACTAAAGGGGAAAATTTATAGTCGATCTTTGTGTAATGCTACTCATTGGTCACAAAATGTACAATAGTTTTACGACCGTCGTGCTTACTTGTCAGGATGATATCCACTAAATTTGTGCACGTTGCTATGAGGCTCGCTTGGATGAGTATTATCCATGTCAATAGATTTAGGTTCTCAATAATTGCGAAAAATCTGTAAATAATGAGTTTGAGAAGGCATGTCTATTATTATTTTGAATTTCGTTATTTATTTAGAAAAGTGGCTAATCATGGCAATGACTTTGTTTCCGAATAAATATAAATAAGTACCTAAACTACACCAATAAATAAAAAGACAAAAATAATATTTTGAAAGTAACGAAATGCAATCACAGTAGGTTTGACAATGAGCCAATGTTACCATTTAAATTAAACAAATTCGACAGCCACTGACCAAGGAGTTCATAAGTATGATTGGTATACTGAAGGAAGGTTAGAAGCGGAGCGTTACCGTAAAGATAATGAAAATGTTTTTAGGTGGAATCGATATATGCATATATTATCACTGTTCCAAGATAAAAGGTGTTACAAAGTGATACTTATAAAATCTTTTATCTTGGAACACGAAAGTCACCGAGACCTGTTACGGCAAAGTTCTAAGGAGTTTAAAATTTATTAGAAATAGGTATATTTTTTCGTTTATTCAATTGTAAGAATAATTTTCTTTAGTTCAGGAACATGCAAACAAGGGCTAATTCTAAAGGAATTTACCAAAAATAATATCGTCCCAAGGCTACAGATTTACATAATCTGTATGATTAAAAACAAATTTTGTTATCTGTGGCAAGTAAAAGCAAAGCAATTTGATCGACGTTTCCTATGAAGTATGAAGTATGGTTTATCATTGGTTTACATAAAAAAATATTTTGTGACTCATTTAATAGGATAGGCTTTTGATAAAACAATGTCGAAAAATATTGTATTTGAGGGTTGGTTGACTAAATCACCCCCCACTAAACGAATCTGGAGAACGGTAAGAAAATTTTGACCGTCAAATTTCTTTATTTATTGACAACTTGCACTTTCCTCGGTTAGAATGTTTACCATTTATTTAGGAAGAAATCTACGGCACCAGGTCGTGTTTATTACATTCTTTTATTGGGTTAATATAAACATATAGACGACTATCTTCAAAATAAGTATTTGTTGTTAGAAATGGCGAAGAAGGTGGTTTGCCTTGCGTCAATCAGGCGAACTCCCGGGTCAGTATTTCCTCGACTACTATGCCGATCGGAACTGCAGACGGCTAAAGGGGACTATAAACTTAGACCTGTGTGAACAGGTACGTCTAAAAAATTAATATGATAAACAAAATTACTATTAAAAAATAACAATAAAAATAAAAATAAAAACATTTAAACATTAAATAAAATAATTTGAGCAATTATTAGATATTAAAATAAAAAACTTAGATGTAAATGTTTGCTTCTTTAATAAAAATTAAATACCCGAATGGAACTTACATTGCAAGGAAATACTACTATGCAAACCGATATCGGTTAAATATTTTATTTTATGCATTTAGTGTTACAGTGGAGAAAAAAACATTTTTATAATATTTGTGTAATTCAAATGTTTATTTAAATCAAGATCAGATTTGTTTTTTGTGAAAAACATTGTGTGTTACTGGTATGGGAAAAATTATTTATGACTTGGGAAGGGTAGGTCTCCTTCATTAATTCATATTATTAGCATAACCCAACCTCGCTTGTGATAGGTGGACGCTGGATTGCATATGGAACGCAGTAATAACGTCACTCTAGATCCGAAGCTTCGAGGCTCAGTTTTTACAATTCAGACACAGTCTCGCACATATCACTTGGAGGCAGACTGCGAAGCAGACATGGTTAAGTGGGTTGATGCTATCTGCAGTGTTTGCGGCCTGCAGCCCAAAGACAATGCATCAACTGATTCAGGCAAGTTTTAATACTAGATTATAAAATAATTTACATTTGTTTTTTTTATTATAAAATGAATCTCCGTCATTTAGATGTTTTTGAGTTTTTTTTTTAAATACTGCACTGACCGGTGACTTCTATTTTTACTGCATGATCTATGCATTTTCAAATTAATAGGATTTCAATTTTTATTAATAATATTTGGTATTGAAAAGTTTTTTTGGCAATTTTTATATGCATACAAACTTTTTTCATAGGCATTTTACACCTGGAACATGAATTTTCTTAAACATTAAAGTAATTTTAATCCCTATAAGTATATCATTTTACAGTATAAAGTAGCAGTAACTTAGATATTAAAGAATGACGATAGAAAAGTGAACTTAGTTCTTGAATAAATATTTTTTATGGAAATTTCGAAATTTAAAACTTATTCCTGCTTTTGTGTAAAAGACTAGCTGTTGGTCGCGACTTCGCCTGCTTGAAATAAAATAATAGTAAATATATGTTACTGATACAGGTTTTTATTGGTGAAAAATTTTTGACATTGACTTAATAGTTTAATTTTATCTTTATTTATTTTATTTAATCCAATACAAAAATTCAAAACTTTCCTCTTTATAATATTAGTAACGAATAAACATCAAATGCAATATAATAGTAAGATATCATGTATCCAACATTCCTGGCGGCAACCTTTATAGATAAAGCATGATTAATATTTTGCTGACATTACTTAAAAGTATTGCCTTTACCACATTGAAATGTCTTTAAAGCTAAATTAACATGAACATTATATTAGGTATTAAATTCTTTTGTTCATGTATTGTTTTTCAAGAAACTGAATCTATAGGAATCCCACAGACTAGTTCTAATATACAGTAGACCCAAAATAAGTTAAAGTCCAAGGGAAACCTTATGTTATAGAGGTTTTAAGTTATCAAGGGTCTATGTTGTAGAGGTTTTGGGCTCTGATGTGTAGGGAACATGTTATTTTTTGCAGTTATAGTGGTTTTTAAGATACCATGGTTAGAGTTATCGAGGTTCTATTGCATTTGTTTTAATTGTACCATAAAAAATTTTAACTGACTGTCTAAATTTTTGACAATATTGAGGAATTGTTTTCACCTGCCAATATTACATTTATTAATAGAAAATTTACCTTTCGATAGTGTAATCTGGAGTAATTAAAAATCACTTTATATTTTTGTAGCAGTAATTTCTCAATGTATGCTAAATGGATAGGATTATAGCTACTTTAGATTACCCAGTTTCAGATTTATTATAGATTTTTTAAAAAATAAATCAATTTTAAAAACACTAGATTTTGACAAAACTAATAACTTCTGAATTACAAATATTATATCACATGTTTACATATGAAAAAGGAAAGGATTTTTTTTTAAATTTTACATAAGACTTTCTGTTCTCAAGTGGCTTCATCCGCTTTAAATCATAAAATCTTTATTATATTGTTTACATTAGGATACCTTTCAATTGGAATTTTTATAATTCTGATGCACAATGACATGATAACACTTACCATTACCATGGTAATATTGATTCATTATAGATTTGGTCCCTTGCCTGCATTTATTTACCTTTTTTTGTACACCTTAGGTTTAATAGAGTGCAGTGTGGCGCAAGTGTAGGGCGTCTTTTTTAAAGTATGATGTATGAATTAAAATATATATACTGATATCGCTGAGATCTTACATAACCAAGTATCTGTATATATTTGTGATTCAATGTATTTTAGTGTACATTCAATTGATTTGTTTATTTAATATTTACTACTTAGAATGCACTGTTTTGTTCTGATAGGGATTAAGCAGAACATAAACAAATTGTGAGATGTTTAAGTAACACCCATGGGATTATAACAAGTACTTAAGTAACTATAAATAAAATTACAATGTAACTTGTAAGCTTTCAAATCTGAGAACTTGATTGGTGATAAAAATATATTCTTACCAAGAAATTTTCCAATTAATTGATTATTTGTTACTTCATAACTCCACCACTGATTGTATTATTTAGATAATTTTTGCATGTCATTTGTGCTTCACCAACTCTGAAATAATAATAATAGCACAATATGAACATGATGTTTTGAAGTCGATTACTATATAATTTTTTATCTATCTCTACATATAATGAAAATGGGATGTTTGTTTGTAATATCAAAAGAAAAATTCCGGTTTTTGGGAAGATGATATATTTACGTTGCTGAAAACGAAAAACAGACTTTTACTGACATAGACGGGCATGTTTAAGGTTACTTTTTGTATCTTAATATTTCGTAGACGAAGTCGAGGGCAACAGCTAGTATTTAAATAAATCATTTGATAGTACAGCGTCATGTATGAGGCTTTTGTAAATGTTAGAGTTTTTTGATTATTTGATTGGTCATAATTTTAAAATGGTGCTGATAACCAATTTTGTCTTTGTTTTTTTTTTGATATATAGTTTTTATTTCATATTTCTCTTTGTAATAAGTAAAAGTTACTAAAACCGCAAACCTTTTTTAGATCCCTATATAAATGCTTATGAAATGAGCACAATTAGTGACCAATATCGAAATGCTGACACCACTGGTCCTTATATACCAATTTCTGAATGCATTACTGGAGTTCGCGCACAGGTAGTTCTATAGTCTTTAGTTTTTTATATTTTATTAACAATTATAAAGCTTGAATGGGCAGGTTTATAATGATAGAAATTGTAAGAACTATGCTAGCATCCGTCCGCGTGGAAATAAAGTAGATAAAAGCAATGCCTATGTGTTCTTCCAGAATATGTTCTACATCTGTGTTAAATTTCATCGAGATCCATTCAGCAGTTTAGGTTGCAAACTCTAATAAACATCTATCCATCCATGTAAAGTTTCGAAATTTATAATAATAGTAAGATTCAAAATATTAACATTGATAAAGATTCATATTTCCAGTTTTTAACATTTAGTTGTATTAATCACTATTAAGTCATTAAAAATGTTCTCTTTCAGAATTCTCAGAGGGCGTTCACATTTGATTCGAAGGACATTGTGATTAGATCAAGAAGGAGCCAAGAAAACGTTCCAAGTAAGAGTAATAAGATGTACTTGAGTCAGCCACATATCAGGTTCAACAATGCTGAGTTTTCAGAAAATGACTCAAACCTCAGTGATGAAGAGTGCAAATCTTTAAATGCTAGTCAATCTAATATAAGTACGTCCAGCTATTTTTTTTTTATTTTTTTTATTGAAGCAGTAAACAGCGCTCATCTGTTGAGATTCCCAACTCTCTATACTAATATTATAAAGAGGAAAATTTGTATTTTGGATTTGTTTGTATAGATATAACTCAAAAACTACTGGCCCGTTTTCAATAATGCTTACACCATTTGTAAGCTATGTTATCACTGAGTAACATAGGCTGTATTTTACTCTTTGTTTTAATTTCACGCGGGCGAAGTCGCGAGCAACAGCTAGTCTTATAGGCTAGGCAAAGAGAATCTGTCTTTTGAGTCTTGACGTTATGTAATGCAATATAATGCTTCTATAATGTTATATCACATGTCTTTCAAAATAAAATCCCCAGATTTGTATTGCCTTGTGTAACAAGGGGTTAATGCAAATAGATTAATTTGGGAAGAAAAGGGGGAATAAACAATAGTATAGTTTTATTTTCTTTCTATCCCCACTACTTGTTATTCCTTTATAAAAAGTGAAATAGAATTGGAGTCGATTGTCATTTGTCATGTCATGTCACATTCATGTCATTAAACGCATTACTTGACGCCTGTCTTCGAATTTCATTCATATTTCATATTTTTTAAGTTGTATGAGGTGTATATATATATTTTCAGGGGAATGGGCGGCTGCAAAGAGTTTCACCAAAACTAACCCTCGCTCCAAGTACCGCGAATATCACCACGGTAAGATTTATTTACTAACTTTATATTAAGTTTAAGAACATAATATGAATATTTAATGATTTCAAAAGATAGGTGTTTTTATTAAGCTAGGTTATTTTTTTTAATATCGCCAATGTTACAGGACCTCCCGTACCACCAAGACCCCCAAAGACTTTGGCAATGAGCAGAGGTATTTTTCAGAGGGACTATAGAGCCCCTGAACGGCAGAACCAGCCGGAGGTAAGTTTATAGTTTAGTATATTGTTGTATCTTATTTGGCTGTAATAAATCAGAGCTTTAAACAAAATATTTAAAAAAATTGTATTATATTTAATTAAATAATTTATTAATAAAAATTGGGAAATCGTTTTATGTAAATATAAAATATTTATTAGTTAACTTGGGTAGGGTAACGGTAATGCAATATGTTTAAACACTTTGTACATATAGTATTGAAACTGTAGCTTCATATATTAAACGAGATACTATTAATACCTGACACATGCATTTTACATAGAGTACAAATTAAATGTTATATAATGTGTACAGCGGAATTTCACAATAAGAGTTATAAAGCATGTATGTTCTAAATGGGTAGGAAATATAAATCCTCGACTGTACAACCTATGTATTGGTGACTGTCTCGTAAAGCGTACCGGTAATGTTTTCGTATAAAATTTGCATGAATACATATTCGATTTTGCATGCAACAATAACATAGAGGTGATTGGTGCAGATTGGATCAGCGAGTCAATACAGCTGCACTCAATAAGCTAACACTAACGTATCTTGCATTGGATCATGTTTGTGCAGATCTACTTTCAATGACAAAACGACTGTTTTCACAAACAAAGATTCATGATAAATATTAATATTGACAGGAAAAGGGATAACTTCGCACACGTATCTTGAGTAATACAGTAGAACCTCGATAAGTTAAAATCCAAGGGAAATACAAAATACTTTAAGTTAGGTCTTAAGTTATCAAGGGTCTATGTTGTAGAGATTTTGGCCTCTGATGGGAAGGGAACATATTATTTTTTGAAGTTAAAGAGGTTTTTAAGTTACCGAGGTTTGAGTTATCGAGCTTCTACTGTATTTATATTTTGTTTAGTTAGGGGTACGGATCACTTTTGTAACTGAAAATACAACGGAAAAAATGAATTGTTAGGCTGCGGATACACATACAAGTACCTGGCGCATGCATGTCAGCTACTGGCATGTGACTGATAGATGACAGTAAGACAGTAGTGAATTCGTAACAGCGACGTGTAAGTCGAGGGAGGGTTAGAGGGGGAGGGGCGTTTATGAAATTCATAGTCATTCGATCTCGTTGACTTTTTACTGGCGTGTGTGAATGTCTTGTGCGAGTAGGTGACAAGTGCCGAAAGGTGGCAAGCCAGCTAGTATACGGTTTTACTGGCACGTATTTTTCCGTTTTTAAGATTCGAGTATTGTTTTTGCATAATAATTAATTTGTGTGACAGTTATTTAAAACCATACATTCCATTTGTGTTATTCTAAATATTTATATTAGAATATTTCGGGGAAGGTATTATTTAAAGTTTTGAGACTTTGTGAGTTTATATATAAACATCCTGCAGGTTTTAAAGAAATGATAAGGCTGGTCAATCATATGTTTTTTTATCACATTACGTGTAAGGATTACTCATCGGTATGAGATTCTAATTGTTATATTATATTATATTTATTTTTTATAATTAGGACGTCTGTACGGCTACTAAAGAAAAAGTAGATATTTTTATTAGTAGAGTTTGGCTTCTATTATGAGTAATTTAAGATTATGTTTCGATATTATATAAAAATGTCCACTGCTAAACATCTGTGTACATGCAAAATTGATAATTATAAAAAAAAGATTAAAGCGATTGAGACTTTGGTTGTATGAAAATAGAATAGGTTTTACTTTAAATCTATTTTGTATACAGATCGGGCATCAACATCAAGTCGAGGTGATTTGTCATCAACCACGACGCCGCATAGTTGAGGCTAGTTTTGTGCTTCATTTTTACTTAGTTATAATTGTTTATTTATATTAAGAGTGGGGCACACCTTTGCGTAAACTACCGCATTACTGTTGTGGCGATTGTCGATTATTTCGCGGCAAATTCAATCGAGTAGTGTAACCTCTATAAAATCTCATAGGAATCAAAGCGCGACTAGACAGTTGTGTGATAATCCAGTCAAAGTTGTGCCCGAGCTCTTGATCTCTGTACTGCCTATTGAAAGTAAGAAAGGCATATGTAACTCATTTCCCCTATTCTTGCCTTTCATAAATAACAATGTTAATATTATAAATACGAAAGTTTAGATGGATGTATGGATAAATGTTTCTTAGAGTTTGTAGTCTAAACGGTTGAACGGATCTCAATGAAATTTGGCATTCACGTTGAGGATAGTCTGGAAAAACATATAGGCTACTCACTTTTGTTTTTTTTATTCCACGCGGACGGAGTCGCGGGCGAAAGCTAGTAATATATAAATGTGATCATATTACAGTAACTATGTAAATATCTTAACGCACTCGCTTATAATATAGTAATATTATTGTATAATATGTAAATAACTAATTAATTAGATAGTTGATTTAGTATTCTTGCATGCATATAGAGAGCAATGAGCATGGATTCTGGTCGTAGATGTACAAAACTATGACTAGATTCAATCAATTTTGGGAATGGGTGCAGTAAATTAGTGCAAATAATTGTAATTTCTACAAATTTCTTCTTCAACCTCATATAAATATAAAAATGTGGTATTTAATGGCCGATAATTATTTTTTCTTGATGATAACTGAAATATGATACAATGCTATATTATCCAATATTATGAAATACAATATTTAAGATATTTGGAAATAACTTATTCCCGTATTAAAAAGATATGAGTGATCAGTGGCCTTTACTTAGAAATGGATTGAAATTAAAAGTAAAGAGAGCGATATATTATCTTTGTTTAATTTGAGTTCGAATTGTAAATGTGTTAATGTATTTATTAGAGTTCTAATGCGGCCGTGCAAGTGCCTGAGCCTGAAGATCCTGCTCCTGCCCCAGCTCCTGCCCCAGCACCAGCCCCAGCACCAGCTCCAGCCCCAGCTCCTGTGCAGCAAGAGTCTGTGAAAATTGTAGCCCCGCCGTCGCCTGGACCGACACAAATTGTGCCCAATATAAAGATAACTGACTTTGATGAGGAAGAACGTTATAATCAAGTAAGTGAAAATATTCTTATTTTTATCTTGCTAATCGTAAGTGCATTTTGATGGATGGATGTTTGGTAGAGTTGGTAGCTTAAATAGCTGAACGGATCCAAATGATATTTGGCATAGATGTAGGTAGTCTGAAAGAATACTTACTTTTTTAAATTCCACGCGGATGGAGTTGCGGGCGAAAGTTAGTATGTTATAAATGTCGATGATATAAAGTTTAGATGGATAGATGTTTATTAGAATTTGTACTCTAAGCTAATAAATGGATCTCGACGAAATTAATCATACGTGTAGAGTAAAATCTGGAAGAACACATGGGTTAATTACCTTTTTTTTTACAATGTTTTTTTATAATTTCATGTATACTAAGCCGTACGGGAATAGCTGGTATCATTAATGTTAGGGAGAGCCGTTAGTATAAACTCGATGTTTAACACCTTTTCATCATACTAATATTATAAATGTGAAAGTGTAGATGGATGGATGTTAGAGTTTGTAGCCTAAACTGCTGCACGGATTTGGATAAAATTTTGGTATAGGCTATAGATGTAGAGGATAATCTGGATAAACACAAAGGCCAATCATTTTTGTTTTATTTAATTCCACGCCGACGGAGTTAAGGGCGAAAGCTAGTTATGTATAAAATTAAAAACAAAAAGTCTTTACTTCTCGTTCATCTTATCTTTATATACTGATATGATTTTAAAATAATGTCAGAATTTATGTCGAAATAAATAAATAGAAAAGGAATCTATAAACCTCCTTAAGTCTACATTAATGTGTTCCAGGCAATGCAGTATTCGAACATTGTGCTGGCGATGCCGCCGGCTGTGGACCGCGCGCTCAAGCCTCGTCACTCCAGCCACAGTTTCGGCAACGTGAACAATCTTGGAATACAGGTAAATATCACTCTTATACACTATATTTTAGGTTACACAATTGAAGTCGATTTTCCTTCAGTTATTACAAACAACACGGATTATTCCTAACCGTCACACCGCGTTGTCCCCACGTGGGGACAGATGAGAATGAAAAGTTGCATCCGTTCCACCTTTTAGTCCCAACACCAAACACCAACAACGTGACAGATGTAACTGTTAAGAAATAAATTATCCAACCGTCCCCTCGACACAAAGGTGGGACGGATGAAACTTTTTGTTCTCATCTGTTCTCATTAGAGGACAGAGCAGGGTGACGATTGGGAATAATCCAACAACACTTGTACAATACTGCACTTGTATACTCAAAAGTGCACACAAATTTTTACAACTGATGTCCGTTTTCGCTAATGTCACGTTTTGTGTAAATATTACCATTAATCAATTTGCACTAAAATTGTTATGATGCCTGAGCGCAAACTACTCTATAACGCTTACTAATATTAGATGTTTTAACTTTGTAGTGTTTTTATTAGGTATTTTTAGTGAAAACGGCCATTATATTTGATAGTTTTCACTTGTTCTCGTCATCGTTTACACAGCTTATAAAGCGGTATTATGAGGGAGTTATTGATAGTGAAACAGAATTTTTTTAAATTAACAAAGCGAAATGTATCCGAGTGTAGCCAATGGCTGCGGCGATTGAATGCCGAGTGCATGGGAATGAGGATAGGAGGAACCATACAACAGTTGGTGCCTCTTACGTCAATGCCAATTACTTCGTGCAACAACCCTCACCAGCGCAGGTGATTAGTATAATACTGTCTCCGCCCACACCTTGATCTAGCGTCTATCATATTCTCTACTTCTTCAAACAAACTAGGGTTTTATATGAAAATAATAACTTAACGTGACCCACTATAGAATTCGCAATTTTTAATAAATGTCTGTTAATGGATACTTAGCGATTTATTATAGTGGTTAGACTAAGATAAGTACGTCAAGGACGTCTTTTCTCAGGAATTTCTTCTATTCTTTGTTCCTTCCTAGAATACAATCTTTGCATAATCATTAAAATGTGGTGTTACCGCGCGATGTCTTTTAAAAATACCGCTGAGCAGCAAACAAGAAATGGCACAAAATTGAAGTGAAATTATCATCTTTGATAAGGATTTAGCTCTCAAATAGCGTTGTGGATAATACTGACAGTAAAAATTAGGTCAAAATAAGGTTTATAAAAGAACAGAGATGTAGGTATCCGTACTCTTGTGTTGTGGTATGTTTGTAGACAATTTTCTGGTGGTGGTTATATTCATGTTTAGACAGGACACATAAATTATAGTACGATACTTTGATGTAAAAGAGGCAACACAAATGCATAAGGTGAAGGGAGACTACGAAACGAAGCTATGTACTATGTACACTATGGTAAAATGTTGTGCAAAATGCTTGCTAGCGAGTTATTTTTGATGATATATTCTATCCCTAATTGCTATGCAACCTGTATTGGGTGTAGTCGACCAGTCCAGATAGCGATTGCCGGGTGCATGGGAAAAGGAAACTAGAGGAAGAGCAACGCGAACCAATTTACATGAACCTCTTTGGTTTCATTCCCCGACCTCCACAGGTGAACTATAATAATAGTTGGGTGGCATTTTTTTCCCCTAGATAAAAATACGAATAAACTGATAATTCGGGTTTTCAAAATTGTCTAAAATCATTCTAGCCCATAATTAAAAAGTTATAAAATAATGAATTTATTAACACATTGGCTAAAAGCAGATCAGAGTTGTAATGATTTTTTATATCTCATACTAAAGTGTAAAATAATGCCACGCGCCTTTTGTAATAAGATGTTGTGTTTAGTAGAAATGCTTAACATAGTTCTAGTAAAAGTAAGATATTTGTGTTAACTGTTTTCATATATTCATTTTCATGGGAACTAATATTCGCCCTTCGCTTTATTTCTGCTAATTTTTGAGACGCTTTCCTCTTTTTTTCTTGCCTTATTAGTTATTAGTTTTGTTACGTTTTATCAAATTTGTAACTTCGAGGCTTCTATCTGTATTTGAAATGTTCTTTGAAAGATCAATTTTGATAAGTGTTATAGCGGATCCGTTGTGAGAATTATTGTTTTAATTTGACAGTCGATAATTAACTTTTCTTTACAATATTGAATTAAACTGTGATAGACTAGAAAATGTGTAAAATTTCATTTGAAATTTAAAACAAAGTAGAGAACATAGAGTTTACCAATTGTGATACTGCATTCCAGCTGCCAATTTTTTTTATTTAGTAACATAATATTAACTTCACTTTTTTTTAATTTATAAAAACTTGCATATTAGATTTGTACGTGAAACCGATTTCATTATCGACGGTATATTTAATTTTGTATGGACAATCTACAGCGTGTTGTGCGGAATTCGCCAGAGAGCATTAACGTGACAATGTCAAGGCCGTTGCCACCAGAACCGGTTCAGAAACAAGTCAAGCATGTTCGTTGGAAGGGAAAAGCAACAAAGGAATCTGATATAAAAAAGTCAAAAAAGAAATTGGTCAAAATAACAGATGTCTAAAATTACTTAAGTTTTTTTTATAACCTAACTGTTAAGACCTGGGAATTTTACAAATTAAGCTGAAATTAAAATATAATTGCTTTCTAAGAAATTGAAACAAGTTGATACCTAACAATATTCATCCCATTAAAATAGAAATCTAAAGATGTTTTTTACTGTTTATAATGTAGTTCAAATAATTACTTAACTAAAATTATTTTAACTTTTCTTAGAATGTAGTTTTTAACTTGAGTTAGTAATTAATGTTAAATTTCTTTTGACCTAATGTTTCAATACTAACTTGTACAAGCATTAAGAAAATAAAATTGTTGTTTTTAAAGTAAACGACATAACCTTTCACATAATTAGTTTTTGCAGTTGAATTAACGCTTTTTCGATCATGAATTAATATTTGAATTTCGTTATTATTAATTTTTATTTATTAGTTAACAATAAAATATGATTTATATTTTTTAATTAAAATATTGCAAAACAATATGTCACTTTTGCAATTTGAACCAGGAATGGTGCAAACATAATTAGTTGCTGCATGTTATTGTAACTCAAATTCTACTGACGTAAAGCTTATGCCAAAGCTATTGGTGTTTCTATCTTATCAAAGAGAATGAAAGGGATGACAATGTTTGTATGAGTTTTGCGTCAGTGGAAACGCACGGTAATAAATCATTATGTTCCTTTGTTTATCACTTTTGTTTTTGTCTATTCATATGCATATTCCCCAGGACTGATTTCCTTTATGATTATAATATTAAATATTCTGGGGCTATTTCTTTTTTCAGATTAATATTGTTTATTTTGTATAGCGTGACCAGAAAAATAAACGCCTCGTTATGTTGCAGAAAACTTAGGAAGTAATCTCTGCTAATGGTAACACCAATTTTATTAAAATGATAATTTTGTTGCCATAACACTAACTTTATTGACTGTCGAGTTGGCAAAAAAAAAAACAGTTTAGTAATATATTGCATGTATAATTTGATGTGTTAAAATGCTGAAAATTATTTCATGCTTAAAGATAAGGAAATAAAGTTGGTTAAATTTAAAATGACTGGCTTTTATTTGATTATTTTGCCCCAATGCGCTTGGGGTTGGTATATTTCTGGTCAGGCTTATAAAAATAAATGTTCTTTTTACCGCCTTTTCCTCATTATTTTACCTTTATGTGTTGAAGCGCAGTTTTTTTTTGCGAATTTTATTATGTTTCTTATTATAGATTTTTTACGTTTTTTTTTGTTTGTTTAAATATACGATAATGTTTTAATGGTAATAAATTTTTTACATATTTTTGGTTACATTATTATAAAATCATACTTTTTCTACTTTAATATATCTTTTGTTGAAAGAAAAATCTCTTGTTTTCTTATCGTCAAACCTTTGGATGACAATATGTTTTTGTACATGTGTTTCGGTAGTGAAAACCCACCGTTATACAGTACAAGATATTATTTTCTTGTCATTACTAAAAGTACATAGAAATAGCCTTCAGAATAAAAATTGTTACAAGAAATTAGTCTTATTATATTAGTTGGTTAATAAAATTATGTTAATTATGTATTTAAAAAAACTATAATTCATGAATATTCATATTTGTTGATTATCAAAACGTGTAATTTATGTTAAAGCAATGGGTTTCATGAATTATCCTTTATTTAAATGAAGCAGTCGTATGGAACATTACGTATTCCGATGTAAGCGGTTTTATTCATTTTTGTTATCAAAATGTATTTATTCAGCTGAGCGTATTGCATATTTTTTAGCGATTTTTTATCGTTGCTTTTATCTGTTACATGGGGATATTCTACCATATGAATTCAACTATTATGGTAAAGTTTGCATTCGCTATGATTTTTATCCTTCTGATGTTCGCAATAACAATAACGGACGAACCGAATAATAAATGTTTTGGAGTGAGGGGGTGAGTGAAAACAACGATTGAGAAACGTCTCGTTTTTGAAGTCGGTTAATTTTTTTTGCTTTCACAATTGCTAGTATCTCTGATCGGTTAGTATTTAGGCGTTTTTAATTGAATTACAAATATTTTAAATTTGGAAAATTATTTGAGATTGATTATTGGGTTCGGCCATTATTAATGTAAGATCTGTGTGGGCGTGTAGTGGCTCTGGGCGGATAGTATGCATTCACCTCATTCATTTCTTCTTCTTTAACTTACTAGAGCGAACTACAGAAGTATAAGAATTAGTGCGATATTAGATTAAAATTATTTTTCGAGATATTATTAAAATTTATTATTAAAAAAAAAATATGCTTTCGGGGGATGTATCAAAATATAGTCTGGCCAAGAATATAAAAATAAGAACATGGAACGATTTAAGTTAGTTAGTATTTAAGTTGGATGGAATTTTTTGGTTTTATAATCCTGGTCAGGCTATAATAAAGATAATCATGACTGTATTTTTATATTTTTTAAATATTTTAGGTGCAACGAGTTATGCAATTCAATGCGGACAGAGCACGGTCTGATGTGCTACAGTATTTGGATTTAGATTTGCACACTTCAACGCCACCAAGCGGGGTAAGAATACTTATTTTTCATATTGCCTGCGATTTAATCCGTGCTGATATAAAAAGAACACTAAGTAGACAGGTCTCCCCATGTTCTATGCCAAATTTAATCGAAATCTATTAAGTCGTGTTGGAGATGGAGTAACAAATGTCCATCCATTCATCCATCTAAACATTTATATTTTTATTATTGAAGCTGTTGTACTGTGTAATAGAAACAAAATGTATCGCACAATTTTGAGTGATCAATATGTGATGAATCCAATGAAACATACATATGTTGCATTATGTATTCATATGTACCATTAATAACTTCTAGGATTCTTACTGCAGATAGTAAAGTGCAGATTTGTGTTTGCAAATTGTTATTGTAACTTACCGTGGCTTAAAAGGGTTTGTTTTCGCTGTAGAAGCCAACCTTTACAATCGAGTTTCGTATATATATCTGTATATCTTAATATGAATGCAAAATTTTTAATGGACGGATGGATGATACTACGTTACTCAAAAACAGCTCGATATATCTTCGTAAATTTTAGCGTAGATGTAGAAGATAGTCTGGAAGAACAACAAAGTACTTACTACTTTTTAAAATTTATATGTTTATTTTTGTTGTTTTAATTCTTTTTTTGTTTTAATTCAAAGTTTTAATTATAAATGTTATAATTAACTTAGAAATAATCATTAAACATCCATTTTGTTGACTTCAATTCAATTGTTAAGCCTTTAGTTATATGTACAACTCAATTATTTATCAGTGGTAGAACCCGTTTTAAAATCTTCGCACGAATGGCCGGCTCGCCCCCAGTAATACCACGACCACACAGAAGACACGCGTCAAATGGGAGCAATTCCGCGTACAGTGATGAGTTTAGTGCCGGTGGCCTGATTTTAGTCCCTTTCTCTTTCCACCTTTCTTAAAAGGAAGGGATGGGAAGGAAAAGTGGATTTGACGGTGGAGGAGACGCATAGGAAGAGGAAATATCCTCTTTATGTGCATCTTCTCCAACGCTGATTAAGGGTAGGCAATGCATCTGCAATTGCGGATGTCTATGGGCAGCGGTCGCTTCGCCATTTCGGCGGTTTCAGGTGGCCGCTGGCTCATTTGCTACCTTGTAATATAAAAAAATTTAGTACATTCTCTTGTAAGATAGCCAGCAAAATATTCTTTTTACTATACTTTGGTGACTATGGCCTTATTTGTTTCAGCGTAAGACGTTTGCTGGTGTGCATGGGAAGTCTTGGTCCGCAGCCGACGCGGCTTCTGCTTACAAAACTGTCGACTTCTTGAAGACTGAAGCCTTCAATATAACACGACAGGACGCAGAAGCTTCTAGAAACAGCCAGTATTAAACACTTTCACTGCCGCCGAGTCATTTGCGAGCTCTTTTTAATACTGCGGCAGATAAAGTGTTACATTTCCAACTATATTAATGGAAGCTCTCTGATTTACTGATAGTTTTAAAAACCTTTTTATAGAATAAGAAAATTTTTACTATTAAGATTAATTAAATAATTATTATAACTGTTGCTTTATTTATAATATTGCCGATTCCAGATAAAATCAATTGTGTTTCTGCCTTATTTTAATATTTTTCCAGTTAATTTAACAATCTTTGGTGATGTTTAAGTTTATGTTAAGTTGGTGCGAATTTAATTAAACCAGTATTAAACATCGGCAATTTTATAAGTAACTTTAAAACAGTAAGTATATTAAGTATTATCTATAGTGCACAATAACTTGACCACTTTATACAATTTATTCAACATTATCTGAGATGTAAGTCGCGAAGTTACTAAACTTGATGTAACTTGGTTTACATGTGGGAGAGACACGTAAGTTTATCTTGTTATTGTGCACTAATTTCTTATAAATTAAGAAATATAACCGTATTATGATTTCTAGTATTTGACATGCAATAGTCTTAATTTCAGCCAAAATAATAATTAAGAAATAACATTTTTTTTTAAAAGAAAGTATTAAAAAATTAACCGACCTAACCTCTCTTAAGTACCAGTATTAATTATTTAAAAAGATTAAAAAACTCGGCTACAATATTTCAAAGACTTAAATAATATAATTAAGATGATTTGAAAGACAATTTTTTAGTACATGAGGCCCTTAATTATTTTTTAAATATTATATTGCTTGCTACAAAATTATTTTAACACCATTCCTTTTTACATATATATTTTACAACTATATTGAAAAATCTTAAGCATTCTTACTTACAGATAACAAGTATTAAAATATTTAAACATTTTACTAAGCTTTCGTATTATTAACGTTTTTTAAAAAAAAAACTTAAAACAAAAAAAATGTAGTCATATTAAACTGTAGCTTTATTATATTAAAATCAATGTTTTTAAAAATTAAATAAAAATCCTTTCCATACTAAGAAAAAGTATAAAAACACATTTCTAATTGTAGTTTTTCAAGAATAAATGGTAACTATGTATTTTAAATCAATAAATATACACAAAGAAAATATTATGTGTCACCGTTTTCATACATTGATGTGTGAATAAAAATTTTGTTCAATTAAAATTAATAATAGAGCTTTATAAACAACTGGTTCGCTTTAAAAATAAACTATCGCTTTAAAATAAATGCCTTATATACATAAGTACCTATATATGTATAATATTCATTATGTAATTCAATATGGTGCCGATAAAATTTCTCTATTTCACAATTAACTTTTATAAATAATATCTATAATAAATAAATTAAAATATAAATATATAACAATGTAATATTCAAAACATTTACAATATTGAAATAATCATACTTATTCCGATTTTTAATATAACATTATTTATTAACAAGACTGAACACGTTTATATAGCTATCATATAACATGGATGGCTCCTACGTAGACAGCCGTAATTCACAATTTTGAGATTAACTACTTGTTTTTTTTATTATCTTGCTGAGTACTAATTTTTCTGTAAATTCAAAACTAACGTTAGAAAGTATACATTATGGTTGTCTGTTGATCGGTTGTAATTATCGTATTACAGATTTATAAATAAATGCGGTAAAAGTTAAACTTGGAATAAAGTGTGTATAAGCAAAATTAGTACTTATATTTGTACTAATATTGTTTTTTATACCGCGTTTATGTTAATGTTTAAAATGTAGAAAAACGTTGCATTTTAAACATACGATTGTTTACGTAGGAGCCACCGATACGAAATTATCATACTAATCTCGTAAACAATTGATTCATCAAGCCTTCATAATTTCTATTGGACCAAAGAGTAGTTGAAAATACACGAAAATATACACTTCTATATGTAGTTATACTTTATATACACTTCTAACAATGCTTAAAACAACACGCAATGTTTAATGATAACTTTAATAGTTGCTTAGTGTAGATTATTTTACTTAATCTACACTGAAGAGCTCCCTTATTAAAAATATTCTGGATGCTGTTAAATATTTTTACCGTAGGAAATTTAATGTTATAGAAGCTTTCCCTTTCGCTTATAATGAACTAAATGTTAGTCGTGTATTTATGTAGTAAACAAAATTGAATAATTTTAAATCAGTATTAATATCTAGAATGGTAAATTTTTTTATATAAAATGTAGGAAAAAAATGAAAAAACTTTTTTTTTCCAGTACATACATTTCTTTTTTATTTGTTTCATCTTTTGTATAAAAACAATTTAACAATTTTTAAGTAATATTCACACTGTTAAATGACATATATCTGTAAAGACCACTCGGTAGAATCTGTTAAAAAAATTAACACATTGGATATATAAATTTACACTTTTGATACATAAATATATGATCAGTTCAGGAATCTAGCGATGTTCGGTTAAAATGTTCGGTTACTACAGTCGTTTGAACATTTTGTAATGGGACTCGGAACAAAAACCGATACATCGCATCCTATAAATGTATCTGGATGAATAAAAGTCGATTACTGATTAGTGATGAACATTTTGAAATTATACTCTGATCGAAAATACAACGCAGTTTATTAATGTATCTGGACGAAATGAAAAAACGGTTAGTGATGCACGGTTCTTCTCTTTATTATTATAATCTTTTTATTATTATCATTTTGTTTGCACTCAATGCTATCTATTTAGTTATTTGTAAAGGCATTGCCATGTTCATTGCAAGGAAACAAACTACCTTTTCCTACAAATAGATAATTAGATTGCAGTGAGTGCAAACGAAAGGAAAATAATAAAAAGAAACTAGCCGTGTAGGACTAATCGATTTTTTTGTCCAGATACATTTATTAGATGCGTTTTATTGGTAGTATGCGTAGTTGGAACACCGCCAGTTTCCCCGATTGTACCTATCGACTGAACTCTAATATAGATTTGCATTATGTATAACTTTTGGATTATCTTCTGTTATTGTGTTTAGATTTTTTTGTTATTTTAAAATAAACAATACAACTGCAATATTTTAAAACTTGTAAGCAATTTTGAATTTGCTCATTTTGATGTTTCTTTAGAGAAAGTAAAAGTTCCGTTGCTTATTAAACAAATATGAAAAAGAAATGACGTATGTTAGTAGATATAATGGCTATTAATTGAGGCCTGCTTACTTAAATTAAAGTTAAGATTAGATAGATGTAGTAACTCAGAATAGCTTGTACTAAATACGATTTAAACATGGCCTCAAAAAATTCATTATTATCGTGAACTATTTATGTATAGAGTTCCGTTTTAATTGCCATTTTAAAGTTCCTTGGAATGACCCCGGCTGCCAATATTGCGATATCTTTGAAAACTGTTTATCATTTTATAAGTATATTGAAATTTTTAACTCTCTGCCTAACAATCTGACTGATTTATTAAATGTTAGTTTAAAATGCTATGAAATGCTACAATCCACATATAAAATCAAGCAAATTAAATTGGTATATATATTTTTTTTTATTGAAATTAAGACAATTATGAGTTAGTATTGTATAATGAAATAGTAAAAAGTTTTTAACGTTCCAACGCACAAGTGAACAATATATTATATGTTAGTTGACATAAGGCATTTAAAGTTGTATTAGAATGCAGTATTTCGTACGATATAAAATATACCAATCCGTGTAGGTTTGGATGCAGAAATATGCGAATATTTCTTGTCATGCGATATTGCGGAAGCATTCGATAAGCTATTTCATGAAATCTTATCCGAATATACATCGTTTAAGATCATCAAGTATATTTATTACAAAAAACATTGTAAACACTAGCTTTATCTATCACAATATTAGGTTAAACACAAACAAATAACACTTAAAAACACGCAACTCGTAATTTTTATCCGGGGTTCCTCAAGGATCAATTTTTGGCCCAGTACTCTTATCTACACATGCTAAATATTGCATATAACCTAAAAAAACGTTTTCTATGTCAAGATATTTACAATTAACCTTTAGCTGTCTATTAATGGATCTTTCAAGCCAGTTAAGTTAAGTATCGTTGCTAAATTCATTTTCATTAAACCGGGTAATACTTGGACAGGCTTAAAGCTATGGCCTATACCCCTAGTCAAAAGTTTTTTTTCGATTAAGCTAACATACAATTTTATGGACTGTATCATGGCGTTAACATTAATTAAACTTATATTATTCATTCTTATTAGTAAGTTATTACTTAAGTATTAAATGTTGGACGATTTCATGCTTTAATGCGTTAATTTTTAAAGTATTGATGTTATTGTATGGTTAGAATATTATGTTTGTATTAAGTATATATGTATAAGTTCTATTACATGGTTATTTTTTAATTACCAGACAATATACCTTTACCCATTGTCAATACTGATCATATTTAAATACAAAATATGTAAATTTATGTCGAAAACTCATTCTTAAAAACGAATTGTTCGGTTGCAACGTTTTACTGTATTATTTACAACTATCTTTCGCCCGCGACGCCATCCGCGCGGAACTATAAACAACAAATGTAAGTAGTCAATGTTTTCTTCCAGACTATCCCCTACTATACCAAATTTTATCGAAATCCGTTCAGCCGTTTAGGCTACAAACTCTAACAAACATCCATCTAAACTTTTGCATTTATAATATTAGTATGAAGTGTGTGTAGTAACATATTTGTTAATTACTTTATCATTATTATAAAATGACTGTATTTTACGGTTTGTTTCTTTTTTCTGGTAATTAAAAAATAAGTATGACTTAATTTTAAACAGACTTGTTTTGTTGTAATTTACATAAAAACATTAAACTATGTTTGAATTTAGTTTATGTTACTTGCACATAGATGGCGTTCTTTTTAAGTGCTCTATTAAATTTATTTTCAGTGCCAATGGCTTACATATGTGTTGCATGCATTTAGAAATTCACCGTTTACAGTTAAAGACACACAATGCAACGTTTATTCCAGTGGGTTTTTATTTCTATTATAATGTATTGACCAATTCTTATTGCATTTTTAAATGTATGCAGTTTATCCCCACTCCTATATAATATTCAGCATTATGTTTAGGTTAATTTTTATGTTGTTTGCAAGGAACTATTTTAGTAATTACCTATTACCTGGCATTTAAAAATGCAAATAATGTAAGATGTGTCTATGTTATAAATAAATTTAATTAAAATGCTGTTGGTTTTTTTTTTACACCTTAAATTGGAAATGGATAAATAATCTAAAACAGTTCGAGAGATCATCAAGAGTTCATGAACGAATAAATCACACTAATATTATAAATGCGAAAGTATAGATGGATGGATGGATGTTTGTTAGAGTTTGTAGCATTAAAGGCTGAACGGATTTCGATGAAATTTGGTATAGATGTGGAGGATAGTCTGGAAGAACATATAGACTACTCACTTTTGTTTTTTTTTATTCCACGCGGACGGAGTCGCGAGCGAAAGCTAGTAATTAAATATTTTATTTTGATTACGGTCCAGTATAGGTAGAAATGGCAACATTATGTAGCTTCTGGCTTTTAACTGCCTACGTGTGTGCTTGTTAGTTCTGTTAGCATCAAAATGTTATATACAAAATGTCTTGTTTTTAAATCAGAAAACAGGCCTGAAGTGGAAGCAATTCCGTGTTTCGTTTGATGAGTGCAAGCCTGAGGCCTAGTTATAGACCCGTAATGATAGATGGAAAGGGAAATAAAATTTGATGGTAGAGGAGACATAGGAAGGGGAAATGTTTTCTTTACATGCGTCTCCCTTCGTCAATTAAGGGTAGGCAATGCATCTGAATTTGACTATAGTTTACCTATAGAATAGATATCCAATTGGCGGTCACGTCAAGGTTGCAATT